CTTTCACAGGAAAGCTGCAACCAGCAGAACTAAACCTAAGACGAGATATCCCCAGAAAAGGACACTTGAATTAGTTTGACAAATTTTCAGAATTTTCAGTAGTGATAGCAAAGAACAGAAAAATGTTGCTGCTGAGGATGTCAAGATCAACAGCCCGTTCCAAAACTCTTTCTTATTACACTGTTTTACAACAAACCAAGCCTTCTGGAAAGTTAGGGTAGCGCTATCCATTTCTTGCCTTGATATAAGAGGAGCTTCTGCGCCATATTGTTGTAACTCTGATGCCATCACAGTGATAACACCCCCTCCAAAGAAAATGCCGAAAGATAGCAATAAGCCTACCAAGGCAACGTAAAACTGTAACGCATTATTTGTAGCCAAAGCAGCCAACAAAATAAAAATGACACCACCCAAAAAGTCGTCTCTTCTTATGTTTACCAAACCCATAATCAAAATGGTGACGTAATCTCTAAAGTTCTGATGAGAACGTCCATGTAATCTGCTTTCAAGGGATGTTGATTTGCTCGGGATTTTTAGAAGGTGCTTGATTGGTAAATGTTACTTTTCTTTATGAAGACTGTGCAATAACGAGCCCAATCATATCATACGTTTGAGTTAGAAAGCTTTTGTCTGCATATAGAATCAACGGCTTCTAACTGCAACAAATAAAATTCTACAAGAAATCAGTCAAGCTCAAAGAGTCCGTCTCCAGCGCAAGTGGAAACGAATCTGATAACGTTTTTTGAAAGATTGCCAATTTTCTCTGAGCTATTCTTAGGTTGGTTTACAAAAAAGATCAATTTCTTCTCTTTTTGGTCTTTGGCACACAAAGCAATTGATATATTCAACCAAATACGACAATACCATCATTGAAATCAACAGCCAAATCAGTCTTTGCGATATCGTTTTGCATACTTGAAAAGTTGTGACAATGAAAGCACAGAGAAATAGGGTAGCGTCGGAACTCGACACTCCAAACTTCAAATGGAAAGACCCACGTCACAAAAACATAAGAACCAAAGAACCACATATAAATCATTTATCCTGGAGTATATTATCTTTCTCTCTGCGGCATGAACGCTAGATAAAGGTATCAAGTAATCAAAGCAGATTGTTCATAGCAAGAACAACAAAGAATCCTGGAAGACAAGTAATAGCTGCAACTCGTCTATCGAAACGGTCCATCCATAATAAAGCAGCAATGGCATCCAATGACAGAAACTAAGTAATTGAGGAGAAAAATCAACTTCATGTTCATGTAATACATACTAGCATTAAAGCTTATAAAATGAACCAAGAAGAAACCATAATATTGGCATAGACAATAGCTTTACAACTCCTTTGGCACACTCATAATGTCTAAAAATGGATATCTAAGACATTTCTTCTCCTCTTGTTTTTGTTCATCACAATAAACTCACATTTTGCATCTATATCTGATACACCACGAATATTCTTCTAGACACTATAAGATACTACTTCAAGACCTTTATGCTTCAGATAATGAGGACTTTCAGGCATGAAGAAAAAGGCTATTGAAGAATATCACAACTCGGTAAACTTATCGTTCTAGTATAATGAGCTAGAGAATGACATCATACATATAAAGAGAGGTTATTCATTGACTATAAGTGTCTATGATCTCGTGACGTTTCTAAAAAACTCATTATGCTCATCCATAACGAGCTAATTTGGAGCAATGTTCTCATTTATTTCCGAGTCTACCCATTACATGCATCACCGTCATTCCTTTCATATTGGTAACTTGCCCAACCAAGTTTTCCAATCTATCTTTGTTCATGTATTTGATCATAGAAGATAAAGCTTAGCGTTAGCCAAGCACATTTGTTTTCCCAAAGTGCTGAACAATGCAACCCAAATGAATTCCAAATTGCTAACTAAATCTGTTCTCCACTTTTTCCTCGATAGAGAGGACTTGAACTTCACTGTTTGGTTGTTCCGAAGCTTTGACAAGACGGTTCCATTTTGTCAGAGTTGAGATCTTCTCAATAATATTCTTCCTAGAAATGCTACTCATTCCAAATCTTTCAATAGTTGCACAACTTCTGAAGCAACTGAGGTTTGTCATTTTGATAAATCAGAGGACAGTTCACCATCCATGGGTTTGCAAATACAGCCAAAATTGTCATTTTAGACAACTCTTAGATGTCATAATATTTTCTTAAGAATCTGCACACGAGATAGTCACAACGAAATGATAAAGTCACCATCAGAAGCTTGTGTTCTCAAACATCTTTTTTATACCCTTGCTAAAAAAGTACAAAGTTTTTCTTAAGGATTAGAATGAAAGTAAAATGATATGATTGAGATGATGACAAACCTGTCACTTTTGTTTAGTAAACATTTATATAAACTAATGCCATGAATTGACATTTTTACAGTCATAGTTATATATATATATATATATATAGGAAGGAGAAGAGAATGAGATATTCAATCGGAGTTGATAGTATGAATAAAGGATAAAAAGTAAACTATCATGTTGTTTTGTGCAAAGTATTACGAGAGAATTTACCCTTGAAAAGAAATTCCAAAGGATTGCTTCATAACTGATCAAAAAACAAAATATTCAATAGTTGCTTTGTTCCCTTTTTATACATTTGTTTTAGTTTTTATAAAGAGGATAAGGAATACATGCCATCTTTGTGACGAGTAGATAAAAGACAACTTGAATGTCGAAATAATCACTTGAGAATATTCGATATTTCTTCTTGAGTCCATTTCCAATGATAAGAGAGTAATCTCTTATAGCAGGCAATTGTTTCTTCTTTGATTTCAAAATTTGAGAACTTTTGAGTAATTGAATTCATTTCTGTGAGCAATTCTTCTCTATTGAAATGTTCAAAGAGGATCAAGTGAAGGAAATGGTTATTTGAATGCAGAAATGTATTCTTCCAATGAAGCCTTCATTTCTTAGAATTATTTTTGAGCATTGGATAAATATACATTCTACAAACTATTCAAGGCTCATTTCTTTTTGATATCTGAGTTTCATTCTGGGAAAACTTGTTTCAATTAGCAAAGCCTAAGTAATGCGATGTGATAGAATGAGTTAAAAGGAATACGAGTAATAAAAGTCAAATAGCCAAACCGTATTCAAACGGACATATTTTAATATCTCTTATGTCCAAATAGTTTGTTATAAGAATCTGTAGGAGAGTGGTTTCCACTTTGACTGTTATCTTTTCTTCTTGTTTGTGTATCAACTCTTGCTGTTGTTTATTGATTTCCAAATTCGAAACTCCAAATTTATTTTCCAACAAGACTATTCATAGGTTATCAACTTTACAATGTTGTTGTTTAGTGTCCTACGATGACTTTGGACATTTTATTCTTTCTTTCCACTCATTATTGGAGCGACTTTAATTCTATATGTTATGAATTCGTCTCTTTCACATCGCATTAGCTTTGAATTCTTCTACAATGGATAAAAATTTCTGAATAATGATACTTTCGTATTTTTTTTGAATATATCCTTTTGTTTCCAAACAAGACTTTCTTCTTCGTGATACAAATCAACTTTTCAATATTACCCTACATTTCTCTCTTTCTTTCAATTCCTTGAAGAGTGAAAATAAACTTTATAGGAAACCAATTTTTAATGATCGCACAGCTTCTAATATCTCTCAACTAGATTGATAATTAGAAAACATATGAAATTCTACTCTTCAAGGAATTGATCAGCAACTTGTCTCTTCTTTAGATATAAAAGGAACAAGTAGACTACGTTTGAATATTCTAGGAAATTTTTTACCTTGTTGATTCTTGAATAGTGTTTCTTGGCGATTAGAATCAAATCAACACACAATTTCTTTCTAGAGGATTCCAACTCGATGATCTAAAGTAGCTCATATCTCTTCCTTGAAAAAGCTGGTTTGGAGTAGGGTTATCATTTCCATCAGCGAACAATAATACTTTTATGTGCTACAACTTACCACAATCAATCGACTGTCTATGTTTTGGAAAACAAACGAGCTATTTTCTAGTAACAACAGGCAATGTTTTTGCTCCAAGTCTGTATCTTCTTATGAAAACTATTTGATTTCATAAACTGCGAAGATAAACTTCTTTTGAAAAAAATATAAACGCAAAAGCACAATGCTGAAATTATCAACTCAATGCATTTTATCCATTTTCATTTTGAATGAAATTGCTATTATGAAAGATTGCCTATCTCTTTCTCTCTGTTTTATAAAAACTTCTAAGAGGTAATCAGGAAGTATGGCAATCATGGTTTTTATTTTCACAACAACTCCATCATAACCTATCCATTTCATCACACTTTGTTCAGTTCCATTATGGTGATGTATTTATCAAAGTTGATAACTAGATTACTTTGAAGAAGACTCCAAACGGTGTTGTTTTCTGAATTGGATGAAGAAAGCCTTCAAATGTGATATGACGAAGCAAAAAAGTTCTCATACAAAATTTGGTTTGTGGAAAACCTTGAAGATATGCTTTTCCTTCATTTTTGAACGTTGTTTTTTTTCTTGACATTTCGTTATTGTCGAGTCATTGAGAATTTTATTTAGTTTTGATATCCATCTTATCAAGTTGGGTGATTTATTCTTCTTTGTCATTGGAAAGTATAAAATGAATGATCAGAGTAGAATACAAAAGTCTTTTCTCTACATCTCATCTTTCCAAGTCTTGTCACGAAGAGGTAAAAGCAATTTTCTTCTCACAAAAGATTCTCAATGATAAGGATTGACTTTCTAGTACTAACCATAGTTTACATTGAAAATCATCTATTTATGTTAAAATTGTTTTGAGAATGGCTACTATATCCGTATATTAGAATATTCGATGATGACTTTTTGGAAAGAATGTGACTGAAGTATAGAGATATGTATATGGAATGACAATGGATAATGAAGAACAGGACCTACCAACTATTGATTGCAGTTGAAAAGATAATCTACGTATCAATTATACAACTTGTTGAATTATATAGAACAAAGGGCCCACCAATTACTCCGGGATAGAGAAACACTTTTATGAATTATGACTATCGAGCATCCAATAAAGTGGATGTATCTTTTACACTTTTGTAAAATTCCGTCTTTTGGAATGAAAGTAAATGTTCTACACTATCTTTTTCAAAAAAGGATATTCATAGAAACTTCTATTCATCAAGTTGGTCAAAAGATGCCATCATCTCCTATCATAGCCAAGTCATCGGCTCCTCCTCTTCTTGGTGCCAAAGGATTCCAATCTCTTTGTATTCTCCAACCACCACGTTCAGTATTTTGCAACGGATTCCAATCACCAAATATCCAATAAAGTAGTGCAGGAGTTTTGAGTATTCGACTACCACCCGTTAGTTGTGGATAGACATCTTCAAAATAGTAATAACAATGACCAGCTATGACTCCCAATATATCTGTTACTGGTGAAGTACCCAATAGAAAAGAGAAGCCTAAAAATATCCAAGGCAAATAAGGAGCACGAAAGTTGAATAATCCCAAAAAGTTCATCAGTTGGTGTTCGTTTCTTCTTGCCCAAACATAGACCATCATGAACATGAGACTTGGACCTAGAAACTTGATAGTTGGTGTAAAGAAGGAAAGCATAATTAATAATATTCCTCCAATCAATAACATAAATACAAAGTCAGCTGAACGTCCTCGAAAAGTATTGAGTTCCAACAGTTTACAATAGCGGTATAGAAAGAACATGTGAAATAAAAAGTCCATTCCAAAGGGTCCGAAATAGAAAAAGTTGGTCAACAGTCTCCATAACTGCAATCTAGAGTGCTTTTGTGAGTCACTCAAAAAGATGGTAAAAGTCGTCGTTACCTCTTTATGCCCTCCCAACTATAATAGAGTTTCATAGGGGATAATATATCCAAAGCACATAATATAGTTACTGTGGAGGATATAGTTACATAGGCTCTAGTCACTGGAGGAGTATTCATAAACCAATCTTCTATCAAAGACATTATTCTTTTAATATATTCAACACAAATCAATCCACCCAAAGAACAACAAATTATGCTGAAAATCGCTTCTTTAACGGTTGCACAACATATTTATCCATAAAAGGAGCCAAAAGTAAAGCACCAGCTACTCTAAAAGGTCTAGAAAAGTTATTAATACCCCACATAACACCAAATACTACTGGAAAAGTTTTCCAAGTAAGAGTCTTTCCTGTTGTACGAATAAACCCTATCAAAGCTATGAGAAAAGATAAAGAATACGTAACTGCGTCAAATATTCCATAAGATAAGATAGCAGCTATTCCATAAGTTTTCAAAACTTGTTTAGGATTCATTTGGACTCCATCATAACCCAATAGAGAAAGAAACTTCTTGGTCCACCCTGGTTTAGCTTGTTGTTCTTGAAAGGGTTCCTCTTCTTGTTGTTGAGAAGACTCTGGTAGACAACTTTGCCAATGAAAAGCACGTTTAGGTATGTTGACTGCAAGTCTTTTGGAAACTTTTCCAACTTTGTACAATGAAGAACGTTTATGATAACAATAAGATGAAAAATAAGCAAAAGCCATCATCATGAATGGAAAAAATCAAAGAGAGGGAAAAAAGCAATCGTTCATTTATTATAAGATAAAGGTACTCGTTGAGTTCTTCTTTTCTTCATAGCTGGTAAAACATATTCTTCATTCTTGTCCAAAGAAAAGCGAACTTGTTTCACAACTTGTGGTTCTGCTGGACGAGTTGTCAACTGTAGACGATTTTTCAAGCGTTCTGACCTCCTTCTCGGGGGTGAAGAATGGTTCTCCACTTGTTGAGGCAAACGGTCTTCTAAACAAGAAACCGTCGATTCCAACTTATTGTACAAAGCATATAGACTCTTTCTTGATTTGGGTGGACGTTCAGGTGAACCAGCCCACTGATATAGTTTCGGAATCCAATCTCTTATAAGAAACAATAACTCATATCGTTGTTCTGTGGCTGCTGCTTTGCAATCTTCAATAAGAGGTGAAAAGATTCTTTCTTTTGCTCTAGTCACAAGTAAAGTATCTGTTTGAGTGGCGTCATCCACACATATATGAAAAAGAGACCATAACAACTCTACTTTGTTCCAGGAAGATGGAAAAGAAAGAATTCTGCGGATGACATGTTCATAATATTTGTCCAATACATGAAGACAAAGTCCCTTACTGGTGTGTCTCCAATGTTGAGTGAATTGTTCTTCCACAACTCCGAATAGTTGGTTCATCGTTTGCTCATCCCAATTGTGTTGATCGCCTATGATAACTAGTTCATCTAAACAACAAGTGATGAGGTCATAAAACTTGTCTAGGCGGTAAATATCCAACTTGGGCCATAGAGTACCTACACACTCCAATAACGCTTTCAAGTATTTACTTTTGCCAATTTCAATGAATCGAGCAACTTGTTTGGTTATCTTTTCCGTAGTTGTGGCTTCGTCACTCAACCAGATGGCATAGAATAGTGCTCTACAAAGTTTGGATAACTCTACATATTCAGCTTGTGAAACGTGAGCAGTTAGCCACAACTCTACCAACTCCAACGCTTTTACTCGACTATGTTTTTCATTTCCTGCTAAAGACTTGGCTACTCGACGAAAGCGTTCTTCTTCTTCCATCCAATAATGATCAAAAGATAACCATCCCGTCCCTTGTCTCTCTCTCTCTCCTCTATCTTACAGACTCAATGCACCCGCAAGTAGGACGATTTCAGTCCTCCCCTTCCCATCCATTTTATTTAGCTCCGAGGTACATTGGTGGTCTGAGAGGATGGCGTTTCTTCCTTGTATAAATCAACAGATAAAAATATGCTCCCAAAAATCAAGGCTTGTACCTAGAAACGGCTTTCATCAAAGATACAAGATGAGACCACTTTCTAAACAGAAAGTGGTAAGTATATACTTTCCCATTTGCGACAAGTATAAAACGTTTAGAACACACTGTTGTCGACGGTAGCTTATCCATCGACAACAACATGCGAACTCACCGTTTTATATGGTAACCAACAAATAAAAAAGATCCAAGTGGAACAAGGTCAAACTTTGCTCGAAGCGATGGAAAGTTCGGGATTACCAGCAGATTCCTCGTGTAGAGCCGGAGTCTGTATGACGGTTAGTAATTTTCATCCGTTTTATTCTTGATAATCTTATCAGAATTAGTGTGCTGTGAAGCTATTAGAAGGAGAGGTTGACAACGAAGAAGCAGCACTGGCCAGCGAAGCAAAAGAAGCTGGTTTCGTTCTTGCTTGTTCAGCATATCCACTCTCTCCAAAAGTCAAAATAGAGATCAATCACGGAGACGACGCATATGAAATGCAATATGGAAAATTTGAGTATAATAAGTAGAAAGAAACCAAGCTTGTAAACACTCTATAAAATCCCCATCATTCAGCTTGCATTCTTGTTACCAAAAAATATTCTGTATGATTAAAGAATTATCCATTTGAATTTGATAGTAACACATCAAAAAAAATTCTCTTTTTACAGTAGACACACATTTATAATTAATTTTCTCGTGGTAAAAAAAAAGAAATACGATACTCAGTATTAAACTATTTGCATTATTTTAAAAATTCGATGTCTGAAATTAATCAATTATTAAAGAAATTACAACCGCCAGACACAAGCCCAAAAAAATTATTTTTGCTGAATTTAATGCTAGATATTATTGAATGCTTTGAAAAAATCCTTAAAATCAATGTGAGGTAATAATTTAGAAAGGATTTTTTTAAATTTTTCCAGCTAACTCTGTATTTGGATCTTTAAAGTCTTTTTCTTTAAAATATATTTTTGTTAGTTTTATTTAATGTTTCGCTTTACATTTAATCGTGATTAGTCGAAAAACTAGTAGAACAATGCCGCGTCTTTTTTGCAAATTTATTCTCACCTCTTTCTTTTTTGCTTTCGTTTTCTTTTGGCATTAGAGCAACGTCATACGGTCGTTGTATAATTTCCAATCGCATTTGGAAAGTTTTTGTCACTTGATGATAGTATAATATTTCGATGAATCCTGGACGACTGCCAGAATTGGTTTCAAGGTTATTTACACAATGCAGTTTTACAACTCATTTATATAATATGAACGAACTGTTTCGTATATAACTTGAAGAGAAGCAAAGGTATAAGGTGTTTATGTTCAATTTTCACTTTATTTTTGTGTCGACAGCATCCCTACCCAAATTTCTAACTTTACAAACTCAAAAAAGGTTTCTATTTATTTACAACCAGGAAGCGTATACAGTAAAGGGTTCGAGGGCAGCCTTTACTTCATTTGCACAAGTGAGTAAGCTACAACGTACTCGTCGTTTATCTATTTTTCTCCCTTCGAGTTGAATGATTCCATGGTCGCTCAAAGATGTTTCGCAGATGTCAACAAACTGCGAAAAGGAAATACAAGGTAGTTCAAGCTGACCATTGAGCTGTGTTAGTTGAGAATACAATTCATTGAGAGTAAATAATGACTTTCTCTGGCTGAGAAGAAGACAAGCTAAAACTGCCAACTGTTGTTGAAAAGGGAGGTTCCCAATTCTATTTTTCATAGAGGTTAAGCCACCTTTTTCTTCCAAGATCTTTGCAGCATCTTGTAATAAGAAAGAATCCTCGCCATGATATTCAGCAGGTATTCTCTTTGCTGCTGACAATAAAAGGGTTCTTATCACGTCCAACGCAAGACGAATATCTCCACAACTCGTAGCAATCTTTTTTGCAACCAATTGAAATGCGTCCGTGAAATGTGATACAGGAATCTTTTCTAGACAAGGATAACTTGCCTTTGCCAAACACAAACGCTGATAAAGAATACTTTCAATTTCTTCATAGCCATAAGGACTCAATGGCATGGTTACTGGTTGAGCAGAGTATAATTTTAAGCACGATGCAGCTCTTTCTGGAAGGTCCACCGAATTGGCAGTTGCCAAGATACCCACTTTTGATAACGAATAGGGAGACTCCAATAATGAACATAAAACAGACATATCTCTGGTTACTAAGAAATCTAGTTCTTCCAATATGAGGAGAATGTGTTGTTTTGCCTGGATATTTTCTATTGCCCTTATCCAATTGGTTTTCGTATCACTGGAGTACAATCTTACACTTTCCTCCAGTTGAGAAGTAATCACCGAATAGATAGTTTTTGGATCCGAGATAGTAGCACAATTGATGTAAATTGGATGGATATCTTGGAGTCCGTTGTTGTTATTATCCGCTGCAATCATTTCTAATGCAGCTTTGACACACAACGATTTTCCAGTCCCAGGACTACCACATAAATATAAACTCATAGTGTCTTGATTATTCGACCACTTTTTCAGCTTTTCAGAGATAATAGAAATGGTTTGTTCTCTACCAATCACTTGACATCGACTAGGTTCATAGGATAATGAAAAATATTGAGAAGCTGCTAATAAGCTTTCTGATAACTTCACTTGATTGAGGCAATGAGGATTGTTTTCTTTCTTAGTCGCGACACGAGGACGTTTGATCGATTTCACATATGCTGTCAGCTGCTTCTGTTTGGTTTCAGTACTATGGATATCATTCCATGTTCTCTTGGAGCTTCGAGTAGTCACCATGTCAATGTTGTTCACAATCGAAACGAATAATATGATAATGAATAAGCAAGTCATATTTAATAAGATAGATAGATATGGCGGGTCAATGCAAATCCATCTAAAGAATGAAGAATCGAGGAGGGCATTTCTTTTGAGAAGAGGCGGGTCATATGATGAATGAGCCCGCGTTGAAGTTTCTTCTTTGGATCCAAAGACACAGGCATAGAGAAAGAAAGAAAACGCTAGTCGACTCAAGAGTCAAAAAACCCATCCTTCTTTATTCGTCAACCTCTATTTCACTTGATGCACAAGACAAAATATTATGCCTTGACATAGTGAACATTCACTAGCTTTGGAAAGTTCCTCTTGAGTCTATGAATAATCTCCAAACGAACGGAATCTACTGCAGCTCCACCTCCACTCATCTTGAGTGAAACACTAGGTGAAGGACTATCCGTTCCGTAGATTCCCACCAGGTCTATTTTACCTCCTGCAATCTTCAGAAAAGGACGAACTTCATCCAATACACTGTCTATATTTTGTTCGTTAAGCTCTGGACCCATAGTTTCCTCTTGAACGACTGCCTCAATTTCGGGTATTTTCTCCTTTAAACGTGTTTCAATTCCCATTCTCAAAGTTACCGTTGAACTGGGACAAGAACCACAAGCTCCTTCCAAAGTCAACCGTACGGTAGCTCCATCTATGCCTGTGAGTGATACGTTACCTCCATCTGCAATAAGATAAGGTCTCAGTTCTTCCAGTACTTGTTCTACGTTTTCCTTTGTTAAAGGTAAAGCACCTATACACACTAGTGTTTATTACTCTTTGACGAAGCTCAATTTCTTACTGTCAGCGGATATTTGGAGTCGCCTTATCTTATGAACTGTTGGTTGATAAGAGAAGCGTTGTCTGTTTTTAAAACAAGTAAAAGCAACGTGGTGAGGTTTATAAGAACAGAAGCCAAAGAGGAATCCCAACATGTCAATATAATTTCAATCAAACTTCTCTCTTACGTAATAAATTTATCTCCTTGTTCAGCCAACATATGCGCACTCTGTTTGGCATCAAAAAATAAAACATCGGCTTCCTTTACATCCTCTTCCGTTACTTGCTCTCTTCCAGCAACTTTACTAAGGATTCCAGCAGGTGTTAGTAACTGTACAGTATATCGTAGACTCGTACGACTACTGATTTCTGCCAAGGCTTTCAAAGACTCCTCTGTAACAGGAATACCTTCCAACTAGATCAATGTCAAAACTGGGTCTTATCACTGTTCAAAAATAATATTATATATTACCTTTGCTCGAATGGACAAAATTTGTGAAACCTCTTCCAAAGTATAGGGCTGTGTTCTTATAATCATGCAACGGTCTAAAAGATCCACCGGCAAACCGTGGGGCCCTCTAATATCCGTTCCTCTAATTTCAGTCATTCCTCGATTGGTAGCGAATATAACAATGGGAGCAATATTAGATTCCAGGGCCCTATTCAAGTAACTAAAACATTCAATGTCTAACATGTGAACTTCATCAATAAACAAAACACCAGGTATCAACTCAGCAACTCCTCGTTCTATAAACCCAGAAACAATCTGATTCACTTCCATTCTTAACTTGTCCGTAATCTCCGATTTCTTTGGGGTCCGTAGAGAATTCAATAAGCTATGGACATCCTTGCCGCCTTGAGGTCTCGCATTGGCTACATCCAAATCATGTAAAGTCAAGTCCTGAATAACTTCTCTTTTCTTATGAACATCACCCTTTGGTAAAGGTACATATTCATCTGCTTCCAAATCATGTTCTTTAGCATAGGATTCATTTCTTCCCAATCTCTTCACAGAGCCCGAATTGGCATCGATATAAATGATATCCCCCAACGACACCTTTTCTTTTACCAAGTTTTCATATATGGAAGGATCCAACTTCAACTGCTTGGAACCTTTTGCAGTTTTGAGACCTAGAGAGAATGCATAAGTACAAGTTCCGAATATTTCCTTTAATATTACATACTCAGAATAACGTGGCTAACTTTCTTCCCATATCCTTCCAAAGGATCTTCAGTTTCTTCAGGTGTCCACTCGGTTACTTCTCCTTCATACACTTCTTTCATTTCTTTCACTCGTATTCCAATTGCTCTTCGAAAGTTTTCCATCAAAATTTCAGTCTTTTTGACTTCCGACGAATATACTTCGGAACCATTCAAAGGACAAAAAGGAACTTTTTGCCCCAACTCACGAGCAATACCCAACGCAAGCGCAGTCTTTCCAGTTGCTGGTGCTCCAGCAAGTAACAAAGCTCTCCCTGCCATCTTCTTACTACGAATGAGTTCCACTACAACACCAGCTGCTTCCCTTGCTTGTTCTTGTCCAACAAAACCAGCAGAAATGGGCGTGGCAACACCTATCCAATATATCAAAAAGAGTCCACTTTGTCAAACTCTCCATTTACCGTCAGGTCCTAGTCCTAGACCTTTTACATGTGAGTGTATAGCCACACGTTGCTTTTTATAGCTTGTTGACTGAACTTGCTCAATTTTCATCGATGGGCGGCAAATGATGTTTTCCACAGCATAAGCACGACTTGCCAATCTCTTTATATAGGATTAGTGGATCATTCATGAACAATTCTCTGAAAGACGACTGTCCATTGAAAATAGTAGATAAAGAGTCCTATTGTGAAGTCAATATTGCATATATTTCCGTTCTTGAGCTGTGATAAAAATATCTATTATTTATGGGCTTTCTATATAAGTTTTATCAACCACGCCGTACATTGTGAGAAACAAGTATATAATTGTGTTTTTCAAAAATGAGGAAATGTAAAAAATTCTTCAAGTCTCTTAAGAAGGAAGAGACAAGGCGCTCAAAAATTTTTCAACAAGCATTTTTCTATTGGATGATTGCGTCGTGGGTGTCCTTCTCGAATCAGGAAAAGGTGGTAAGTCTATTCTTTTGATATCGTCTTGTTGAAAACTGGTGTGGTGATGGGATGAGAACGATGATATAGCTCAGTTCTGCTACAGAATATAAAGTGTTGAGAAATCATCTTTTCTGATTTTCCACTCGAACAAGACCGGAATTGGGTTATTTTGTTCCACTTACTTGTTTTGTTTAGGTTTCTAGTTCCTTTTTATTGAGTAAGTAACAAATATTTTTTGTTACTATTGTCTGGGACTTTAATGATGAGTATATCTTTTGCTGACACCTCTTGTATGAGAGTTGGCTCTCGATGAACGCAAATATGAACTCTGAATAGAGACAATAGTCGACAAGATATTAGAATACTGACTCATCTAGTTGAATAGAATGTACACGGGGACTAGTTAGACTAGAGAAAGAGGTCGAATTTGACTAGAGACGTGTTCTTAGGGAATCTCTTCACACATATGTTGAAAGCCGTCATCGTCGATATCTTTTCTATTTGTTTCTAAATAGTCGTTATGATGAAGAAATGAAAATGGTTGGTTTTATGCATTGCTGTTGGATACTTATGCCTAGTCTATCTATAGTAAGGTATATTTCCACAAACAAGCAGAATAATCAACCACTTGTGCACTATTCACAAGCTATTTCCATTCATCAGGTATTATTTTCAGAAAGAGAGTCGGCAGTAGATTTCCTCCACTGAGTATTTTTCTTCTTTCGTTCGTGATAAGCTGTTTTGGCAGGAGAAGAAGAATGACGATTCATATCATGTGAATGATTCCACACCGACTTGCTGCTATTCGTGGTAGGTTCTGATTCATCCAACGATGTCTTGATATCTCTGGAGTTTGTTCTTTTGATCCACATTTTTGACTCAGGTTTTACTAGTCGCTGAAAACGTTCTTGATATGGAAAATGTTTCCATTTCCAAGGTTCCATGCAAATAAAATTACTAGCTGCCAATCTGTTGAAGGCTCTTTCATCAACAAGTATTTTGGCTTCACAAAAGTCATCTGGAATATGAGTCACCAACAATGAGTTGTCGGAATTCTTGTTTTGTTGTAAATGCATATTATAAACATACATATTATTCTTTCTTTTCCTTCGGTTGGATGAGTTGCTTTTCTGTTCTTGCGATGGAGTATCGGACATCTGTCGTGTGGACAACTTGGATGCTACGTTATTGGCAACTGATGATATATCATGGACAGTATTAATATTGTCCTTTGTATTTCTGCTCTCTTCATTTCTCCTGGTGCCATTAGAACCAGTTTTGAACATTTTGTTGTTATCTTCCGCCGATGTTACAGTTTGTTGTGACTTGAAGTGACTGGAAGATGAAGGACGAGACGAGCTACGAGAACTCTTCTTGAGATGATGTGTGTCTTTGCTAGGACTCTTTGAAAACTCATCCGCAAGAGGTTTTTCTTTTCCTTCTATATAGTCGTGTCGGAATTTGTTCAGAAAGCCTCCGTCAACAACTTCATCGATATCTTCCCAATCTACTTGTTTTCTGTTCTTGCTTTGAGAGTGCCTCTTTCCTACATTATCCGGTAATCCTACATCAAGATGTTCTTGGGAATAAGAATCTTTCTCAAGGCAACAAAAAAGGCACAGCCGTTTTCTTATAAACTTGTGTGCTACAAAAACGGTTGGTTGGTTTCCTCTTAACTCTATTTAGTTATTGAAACGCTTTATTGAAACTGGCCAACTTACCGTGACCCATAGAAACCCTTTTTAGTAAAAATATTTCCCACAAAATTACTTTTATGAAAACAAGCAAAAGCTTTCAAAGGTACAGGACTTGTGACGTAATACAAACTGAGTGGTGATTGGTTGAGTTGCCATTCTATCCTCGTTCCATCAGTCATCTTTAATGGCAAATCTGCATATTCGCTCTGATTCAAGAAAAACGAACGGAATAACTATTCGATGAAAAAAAGCTTAAAATGAAGAAAACGTTGATGAAGAAAATATAAATAAAGAGAGAAAAACGAATAAGGGGCTCGCGTCTTAAAATGAGTAAACAAAGAGCGAAGAAACGGTCCAATACTTTGAGCAATTTTTGAACTATTCGAGGAGCTCTTCTTATTCTAAGAGGTCTATAATTGGAAGTTTCAGATAAATTCCAATCTCCTGTAGAGTAATAATAACCTGAAGCATTATTCCGCTGCATCGAGTCAAGTGTCATGGCTTCCAACTGTGAGGCTCGACGTCTTTCAGTGTCTAATTGTGAGCTTAAAACACGAGCAGTACTTCGAAGACTTTCCATCTGATTTTGCTTTTCTAACAATGAGTCTGTCATTTGCTTTAGTTTAGCTTCCAATATTTGAATCTTCTCTTCATATTCCTTTGGTAGAGGAGTCGACTCTTCCACTGTGCTCGTATCTGACTTCATTGTCTGTGGATAATATTCTGTTGTTTCCTCCCTTTCTTGAAGAGTAGCCATTTGTCTTTCCAAATAACGAATTCTCTCATCGCGTTCTTCTAGCTGTTGAGATAATGACTCTAATCGTTCCATCCACACTATATACCAGTTAGCTCTTCCTATTCCTATGCAATCAAAGTGATTACCTTGCTTCTCTTCTTTATCTCCCTTTGTACAATTCTGCATGCTTTCCAACTGTTGCTGTACTTGTGCATATCGATTTCTTTCCATTTCCAAATGATACTCCAATTCCTGAATTCTATTAGCAAGCGTCTTATTTTCTTGCTGCTCCATAAACAAGTTCCTTTCAAACTCGGCTTCCTTTTCTTGAAATGCAAAGAACTGAGCTTCCCATTCATGAACCTTTTCTTGATAACTGCTTCTCGTGGATTGATGAGACGTCTTTTCCTTCTCCAACTCTTCTGATAGTCTCCTTATTTCTTCATGTACGGAAAAATGCAAGTCTTGTTGTTCTTGTGACTTTCTTTCCAACTCCTCTTGCAGATGATTTGCTTTCTGTCGATAAGCTGAGCACTCTTCCATGAGTTGTTTGATCCTCTCTTCTCGTTCTCCCATGGCTACCTGATATGCATCCAGTGCATCTTTCTTTTCTCTCCCAAGTTGTTCCAATTGCCAATCGACTTCCTCCAACTTTCTTTCCAACGCAAATATTTGTTCATCCTTTTCCTCTTCTAACTGACGATGACGCTTTCTTTCTTCACCAAGCTCGAACTGTAACTCTTCTAATAATTCCTTTGCCTTTTGTAGTTGTCTTGCATAACCATTTCTTTCCCTAGTAATTTCTGTCAACTGATTTCTGTATTCATTAGAACGAAAAGAATCAGATGGACGACCTTCTCTACGAAATGAAGAAACAACCTTGGCATCTTCAGTAACAAAAGCAATATCTGTAAACTCTTCGTCCGTTTCCTTGGACTGTGGTTTGGCTTTGTACACCGTAGTTGAAGGTTCCTGTGTCTTATTCTCAGAATACGTTGAGTTGGAAATGTCTAAAGTATTTTTGTCTTGATAAGTTGGAACGAGATTTTCAGATACTTCTGGTAACGGAGTGTTGAAAGCACTCTCGTCGTCTTCCCACTCCGAACTTTCCAAGGCTACCTTTCGTGAATAGTTGGCAACGTTCTCATCAAACGACTCCAAGAAATCTTCTGCTTTTTTAAGTGTTCGTTGAATGAACGACATGTTTGTTTCAAAGTGGTGTTGGGAACACTGGTTAAGTTGACTTTGTAGGCCCAAACTAGTTCATGAATTGGAGAGTGTGTTCAAACGTGTTGCCATTTCTCAATGGACATCTTATTATTTTCTCTATGCCGCATGAGATGTATTCAGCATCGGAACAATCGGAAACTGTGCTATTTCTGTGCTTCATACGCATACGCAGAACAACTGGAATAAAATGATCTGCAATCACAGGAGAGAAGTTCCTAGAATATGGAAACCACTAAAAGTCTTGTGGCCCCTAAAAAGGACTTTATACGTTCGACTTTTCATATGTAAATAAGGAATGGACGTTTCCTTCCAACTGTGCTGCAGGAGTACGAAGCTGCATACGTAATTTTCCTTGATCAATGTATTCATGCAATTGTTCAATACTCAATACACCCATATCTTGAAAACCATGACGAACGCCACTTAACAAATATGGAACATATCTTTTGATGCTTCCTTTGTCTATTACTGCTCCACTAACACCCTGAGCTACTTTTACACGATCATCTTCAGAAAAATAACGAAGCGCAGAGCCTTTCTTCATGGCTTCAGCAGAACCCATGCCACGGTATCGTTTAAGACGAATGCCATCTTTATAGAAATATTCTCCAGGGGCTTCTTCCGTTCCAGCTAACATACTTCCCAACATCACCGTAGATGCACCACAACAAAGTCCTTTGATAATATGACCAATAGATGAAACGCCTCCATCAGCTATGCAAGGAACACGATACTGTTTACACACTTGAGAGACCTTGATAACAAAATATGAAAATAAGTCATCATGAAAACATTATCAACATACCTTGTAGACTGCAGTCGCCTGTGGTCTACCACAAGCCATCACTTCTTGAGTAGTACAAATAGAGCCACAACCCATACCAACTCGAATAGCATCAGCTCCTGCTTGAATAAGATGATACGCTTGATTCTGAGTGGCAACATTCCCACAAATAACTTCTAAGCCTGGATGCTTGGCCTTGATATATCTTAACATCTCTAATTGAAATATAGAGTCACCTTGTGATGAATCTAACACAATACAATCAACTCCAACTTCTATCAGCGCTTCCAGTCTCTCACGGTCTTCTTGACGCGTACCAATCGCTGCAGCACAGAGTAATTTCTTATTCTTCACGTCTTTACTGGCTTCTGGAAAATCTCTATTCTTGGTCAAATCTGTCCTAGAAACCAAGCCTACTAAGCAACCATCTCGATCAACAATAGGTAGTTTTCCCTTTTTAGAAACTTTCAAAGTCTCATTGGCTTGGTCTAGTGTACAGCCCTGAGGTGCAGTTACGAGCTCAGAAGTCATAACTTCTGATAACGGCGTCGTCCAATCTTTCACAAACTCCACATCTCTCTTGGTTACTATTCCCAAGAGACGACTTCCCATTCTACCATCTTCAGTTATAGGAATGCCCATGAAACCGTACTTTTTCTTCAAATCATATGCGTCGGCAACAGTATGAAAAGGTGCCAGCGTCTTTGGATCAGTGATAAAACCATTTTCAAAACGTTTCACTCTTTCTACTTCTTTTTTTTGTTCCTTCACAGAATTGTTGCAGTGAATAACTCCAATACCACCTTGGAGTGCCATTGCGATGGCCTTTCGTTATGGTTAACCAAAACAAACTACTTCCTGCACTTGAACAAATACATACCATTTCACTTTCAGTTACGGTGTCCATGGGAGAGCTGACCAAAGGTGCGTTCAAAGTTATATTTTTTGTCAGATTTGTTGTCAAACTAACTTGTTCGTGTTTGAAATAAATATGTCCAGGAAGCAAAATGAAATCATTGTAGGAGTATCCGTAACAGTTCTAGCAAAACCGTTGAAAAAACAACTGCAACATGCGTAACTTTCGTACCTGAGGGTTATCAAAAACTTGAGCGGCAGTTACACCGTCTTTGAAAGGAAAGAGCTCTTCTTCGCTGTACAACAGAGTATTTTCCGCGCCATTGACAATCGGCGACATGTTCTCTATGATTGAATGGTAGGATGAAACGGAGAGAATTCTAGGAGGTTATCCATCCTCTAATGATATGGTGAGAATCTATAAATCACGAGCTACAAGAGTGTAAAAATGGTCTAACTTTGAGACAAATCACTCAAGTCAAATAAAAGTGGACATGCTACTACAAATTTCTGTCAAGGCACAGAACAAAATACAAAGAACTTGAGAAATGGCGCAAAGTGAAACCATTTCATGGCATTTTTTTTCTTATCTGAAAAAAGGCGCCAAAAATTAACAAGGACATTCTTATGCTTGTATATCTATTCACGAGAGTGTGTGACAACTGAAAACTTGGAAATTCACACATCAATTCATTCAATAGTCTTTCGGTTTCCTATATAGCTTTGGAGTGGCTCTGGAATAAGTATTTCACCATTGGAAAGCTGAAAATTTTCTAAAATGGTAATAATCATTCGAGGTATAGCACACGCTGTCGCATTCAAGGTATGAACGTAATGAATATTACCCTGTTTGTCACGATAACGAATATTTAACCTCCTTGCCTGATAATCAGTACAGTTCGATGCACTACTTATTTCACCAAAACCACTTCTTCCAGGCATCCAAGCTTCAACATCGAATTTCCGATAGGCAGGATTTCCCAAGTCTTGTGAAGGCATATCCAACACACGATAAGAAAACCCTAAAGAGGAAAACATTTCCTAACAATCATATTTGCCATAATTGATTCATCAAAAAACAAAACATGTTATCCATTTACATACCATTTGAATATTCAATAGGTCTTCAAGGAGAGCGTCACTTTGATTAGGTTTACATAGTACAAACATTTCCACCTTTGTAAATTGATGGACTCGATATAAACCTTTTGAAGCCTGACCGGCAGAACCAACTTCTTTTCGAAAACAATGACCAAACGCAACCATACGAATAGGAAGGCTTTGTTCATCCAAAATTTGGTTCATGTAATAACCTCCAAGTGGAATTTCTGCAGTTCCCACCAAACAAAGGTCACTATCTGCTACTCTATATATCTGTGATGCTTCACCACGAGGTTGAAATCCACATGCTAAGACTACTTCTGTTCTAACCAAATCGGGTGTGGATAAGGGAGTAAAACCTTTGGACACGACATGATTCAAAGACCAATTGATTAAAGCAACTTCCAATAAGGCAGCAGCGTTTTTTAAATAATAAAACTTTTGTCCACTAACTTTAGCAGCACTTTCAAAATCAGCCAAGTCCAACCTTTCTGCAATAAGTAAATGATTGTCCACATGTTCAGGTGGCGCTGATTGAGCTGCATCAACTACTTTCAAAACTCGGGCTTGTTCTTCAGCTCCTATAGGAACGTCAGGATGTGTTAGATTCGGTACCTTCATAGCTTCGATAAATAAAGTTTCTTCTACTGTCTCCAGTTGTTTTTCCAAATTTGCGATGTCTGTCTTCAGTACCTTTCCCTGTTCCTTGTATTCGTTCTTTTCTTTGGTAGAAGAAATATTGGCTATATTTTTGAGTCTTTCTGCGACTTGATTTCTTTCTTTTCTGAGTTGTTGGATCTGGGAGATGAGTTCACACTGTCTCTGATATAGAGACTTTATACCGTCCACGTCTATTTGTAATCCTCTGTTACGGATATTTTCTCTGTACACTTCCAGATGATCACAAAAATATCTAAAATCTAAAATATTTCTGGTGGGTGCATTCTTGACAACGTTGACAGTCTTCTCGGTAACACAATACCATAGGGGAGTTGACCTCTTTCTAGCCCTCAAAGGACAAGTATGTGAAAGATTACAGCATCTGTTTGTAATTCTGCTCAGAGTCAGTAAAGAGTATTTTGGAGGAGAGATATTGATAAGAAAAGAAGAATATAAAGATCTATCATAACCATCATGATAATGATTGGAAGGAATCATCAACATCCAAAAAGCTGATAATAGAAAGATGATTTCGTTGTCCATGATCACTTGAACTTGTTATGGAAGAGAAGGGACAATTTTTGTACAATACAGAAAAAGAGAGTTGGCATAAAAGATGATTGGAGAGAATGGACAACAACAACATACGGAAATACGTATTGCACAACATGATGTAAATGAGATTGACATTCTCAATAATTGTGAAGAAGTGGTGGTTACGAGGCAGACATCTGATGTTGTATCGGAAATGTTTCAAAAGCAATAAATACTTGAAACCTTTAACAAGTTGTGTTGTATTAAAGGTTTGCTTTCAACAACATATTTCCACGCATGCTATACTTCAAGAGCGACAACAGTTTAGAGAAGAGTGGCTGAAGTTTTTAGTATGCCCCGTCTCCAAACAACCTCTTCGTTATGATTCGGTAGGTTGAAAGTCTGTGGTTGGTTGTGACATATTTTTATCGATGATAAAGAAAAGGAATGAATTGGTGAATGATTCCTTGTTCATTCGATACCCAGTAGGTGGAGCCTTAAACCTCGTTTCTCGTATGAGACAACTTACAGTAATGGGGTTGTAGATTCGTGATGGTATACCACTATTGACTCCTTGGGATGGAAACAAAGAAACGGAGCATAGATCAACACAATCCACAGAGAGAGGAGTTTAGAAAGATGACTGCATAAGAGACTGGGAAAGTATAATAACAACACAGTAAGGAGATATAAATATTCTTGGTTCCTACTCAGAGTCCAAGTTGTAGATAATTTTCAATATAAAATATTTCCAATATAAAAGTAAAGAATATCAGAATATCATTTCTTTACGGAATGTTGCCATTGTGTAAAACCAACAGTTCCTCGTTCCTTATTATAAAAATGCATCCAAATGTGGCATTCGGCATTCATGGAAAAGAACAGTTTTATCCGACTCGCATCTTCTCAATCTTCTGTTGCACAATTGCAAATCAGAAAAAGTGGAACTAGACCTTCCTTTTATAACAAATGGCCACAAACTAGTACTGGATTTCCTGAACTGGACAAGGCTCTCGGAGGTGGCGTTCCTATTGGCTCAGTGTTTGTTCTGTTGGAAGATGAACCCACTCGCTTCTATCAGTAGGTTTCGTTCCTTCAAAGCTAACGAAGATATATTTGACATATTACGTAGATCTATTTTAAATGTATTTATGGCTCAAGGTTTGGCACATAAACATACTTTGGCTTTAGCTTCAGCAGATGAAGAACCCTCTCAAGTTATCACGAACCTCCCTAAAAGAAGAAATTCTCTGATTGCTGAAAGAAATAACAAGGAATCCAACGACGCATCCTTGAAAATAGCTTGGCGTTATGCCGAACAACCGAGTGGGAGCCAAATACGTGGAACTTCAGTCTCGGAGTCACTGTCTGGTCAAGTATATCACCACACTTTTGACTTGACCGAACAAGAAGATCCAAAACAACTTGAAAAGGCTTTAATTTCAACTTTTGGTGATACTTGTTTCACTTACGACGCTATGTTGCTTCATATGAAAGAACATATACTTCATAGTGAAGATCGGGGATTCATGAGTAGACTAGTTATCCGTTCATTTGCTTCTCATTTTTGGGAAAATGCTACTTGTCAACAACTTGTTATATTTCTGTTATATTTCCGATACATCATTCGGAAGAGTACAGAAGGCTGTGTAGGAATGATATCAGTAGCCAGGTCCTCTCTTGAACAATATCCCTTTTTGAAAGCTGCCTTGTTTCATCTTGGTGATATAGTTTTGGACTTGAATTCATGTCAAGGTCAGGGGACAGCAGAGGTAAGATTAATTTTTTTGGAAGAAAAGATAGGATAACGACTCTTCATAGTTGGGACTCGGAAACTTTCATGCGTTGGCAAATATACACAAATACCCACGTATAGGAGGTGTTCATTTGTTTAGACCACCTTGTTCAACGTTTGTTTTAAAGAGAAAGAGGAGGTCAATAGAATGGCAGGTTGCTTATTCTTCTCCAGAAGAAGAAAATGAAAATGTAAGAAGTTTTGAAACTGGAAAAACTTTACAACACCATGTAGACTTTTAAATAAAGAAACAAACAAAAAATGCTTTTGGCGCCATTATTTCACCCGCCAAAATTTGCTTTTCTTTCTTTGGGAAGAATTGCTTGAAGAAGGAGAGCACAAGTCTCCTGTAAACCTAAGGATGCTTGTGACTCGTTCCAAGTTTTCAGATGTATGGAACTTATTGAGAAAACACTGTTTAAGGAATAGCCAACCGGTTCTTGTATTTGTTACTAGCACAGTCGACGCTTTATGCAGTTGCAAGATCCTAACCGAGCTTTTAAAGTGCGATTTTATTTCTTTTCAATTATATCCAGTATTTAGTTATGCTCATTTGAAACAATTATTCTTGGAAATAGAAGAAAATGGAACGTACTGGGAGTTTTCTCTGTTTATAGAACTAGGAGCAACAGTCGACTTGTTGCAACTTTTGCAGTGGAAAGAGAGCGAAATGTCCAAATACCTATTGGTATGGGATACCCAAAGACCTTATCATTTACGCAACTTGGATAGCAAATATGTATTTCTATTTGATAGGCATAGTCAAGAGTCTTGGGCCAAACAAGTGAAGACATTACCTTTTGTAGGATTAGAGAATGAATATGGTTTGGTACTTCAGTCAAGTTCTTTGGAAGAAACAACTTTATACGAAGAAAATGAGACCGATGTAACTGATGAAGAAGTCGTTGCCTCTGTGGAATGGGATAATGAATCTTGTGCTTCTCCTCTTTGGGACCGTTTAGAAGACATAAGTAATGGATTTTTTGGAGAACAAATTTCATCAACGAATAGCAATAGAATAACAGAACATAGTTTGATGGATTCAGAGGACTACGATCGTAGTTTGGAGCGTACAAGAGAAGCATTGCAATATTATGCAAAGCCAGAATGGGATGCTTGTTCATCTTCTATTTTAACTTATGTACTTGCAAGGGATATGAACCAAGGCACTATCTCTCATTTATGGTTGGCTATATTAGGATTGACCGATCATTTTTTGGATAATCGTATATGGAAGGGAGACTATGAAATGCAGATATCATTTTTAAAAGCAGAATTGGAAAGATATCAATCAACAACAACAAATACAGAAGACTCATCTCCTATAGGAATGCTTTCTACTAGTTGTAGTTGGGACAAGGAAAATGAAAGGAGTGATTATGGCGACAAGTCTCGAGTCATTTATAGTATTGAATGGAAAATTGAATTGATGCGACTTTGGACATTTTATGATTCCTTGATGCATAGTTGTTTGTTTGTTAGTCGTCTTGCTACTTGGAAACAAAAAGGTCAACGTGATATTTTAGAGATGTTGGCAATATTAGGAATCCCCTTAAAAGATGCCAAACAAACCTGGAATCATATGGACGTGAGATGTAAACGATTGTTGCAATCCAAGTTTTCGTAAGTATTCTTTTTATATTTGAACATTCAGAAGATAGAAATGAATAGAGTGGCCTGTCGTCATTTTGGATTGGACGATATTTCCTTTCCTTCTTTTATACGAGTATTTGCGGATGGTAGTTGTTTTTCAGCAATGGATATGGTATTGTCTATTCGTGCATTATTTTTGGGTAAGTGCATAATGTTGAAGATGAGTTTTTGCAAATATTTTATGACTAGGCAATGGAAGAGAGTGTATGGATTCCTTTTGGAAAGCTTACGAGTCCCTTGTTGATTCCATTGTACTCTTTGAAGGCTTACAGAGAGCCATCTACATTCGACGATATTTAGTAGAAGAAGTTGCTCAAGTAGCGGACAGACAGCGGATACTTTCTTGCAAACATTTTCGATATATATTATGGAAAGAATGTTCGGTCAACATGAAATGCTTGTTACTTTCACCGTTGTACAGATCTTTTTCCGTCATGATTGGTGAGACTATACAACAGAGAAATATCTTTTCTTCCAAAAAGCCTTTATTATTCTTAGCAAAAGTTTCATCAGATGGTAAGCCTTTTTTTGGTTTTGGATCATATGGATAATAATCATATACTTGTTTATATTTATTTGCGATTGTATATAGTATGGCAAGTTTGGTGGTTGACGTTGGTAACCCATTCTACTGTATCTCCTTTCTTTCTTCATTTACAGCAGACTATATTAGAATTGCTTCCTCATGTAAGAATTGAACAAGGAAGACTAGTCTACTATGTAGAAAATGGATATGAAAAGACTCTTTTAAGAAAGTTGCAATTTTTATAAAATTGCTATTTCACGCTCATCTGCTGTCATATGTGTCTCTTTCCCTGATAGGAAAGGGTCAAATGTCTTTCCGTCGGTCCAGATTGAGATGGCCATGTTGAGAAACGTTGCGGCATTGATTTGCTATGATCACATTGATTGGTGGACAGTGAATCTTTTTAGCGTCCGAGTGGTTATGTCTATTGCTAGTATAGAAAAATTATCCATAGCACAACTCTGTCACTTTCCTAGCAACTCACAAGTTGTTACGAAAAGATATGAACATGTTTTGCCTTTTCAGTTTATTCAAGAGACTAGTGCTACAAGTGAGGAATATAGAACTGGATTGGAAGACGATTCCCCTCTTGAACGAAACTTGGTTCCAGTAGTTAGTAAAAAGGAGTTTTCTTTAAGAATCAGTACTCGTGAGACGCTTTGTTGTGAAAAGACTAATCAGGATAGTTTGTATAACAAAGATAGAACACAAGACATGATGCAAAGACGATGTGTTCGTACAAGTACATTATGGAAACAACGGGACCAAATGAGAATGAAACAAACCTATGAATTCTTACTCGAGAAAGAAAGAAAGTTACAAGAAAAGATACATAGAGATCTATCCTCACTATTGCATGGCGATGATCAGTTACGAGAGTTGGTCAAGTCTATTTGTCCCGATATTCAAGAAAATGGTTTGACAAGTCATTTACCCTTATTAAAAGGAAGTGCTTGGAATTTATTGAAGAGAAAACGTCATCCTATTATTCGCAGAGCATCTCCCGGGACATTGTCACAGTTATCAACTCAAGCATTGCAAAAGAGAAGAAACTTACAAAAAAATGCTTCCAAACAAAGGATTGCAGACTTTGATAGGAAAAGAATGGATTTGTTGAGATGGAACTGTAAGATATTGGAATTGTTATGGAAACAATATTATTCGTCCATTTAGAAGATGGGATAGGTTGATGATAGTGGGATAAGGGATACGTATTCTGGGTTACTTGAGGTTTTTTCTTTCTGTCTTTTCTATCTCTCTCGATATATATATATATATACACACAATATATACATATATACATATATATATATATATATTCATCTTTCCATTTGTTATTTGTGACGCCTAAAATGGCTCATTTGTGAGCGATTTCCGGAAGAATCGTTTACCGACGGAAAAGAACAAATGGTAGTCTGTTCATTTTTCCTTTCAATGTCATGAGAAAAGTAGTTTTGGACGACTTTGGCAACGTCGCGTGTCTCTTCCACAGGTCTCATTGATTACCTCAAGTCCTACAAAAAGTGAAAAAGCACAAATAGTCTCGTGAAAGTCTTGCCTATTGTGTAGTTTGAAGAAGATGGTTCTGTCTTAGGAGTGATATAGAAACAGTGTGGGTAGTGACTGTGATGACAAGCCACAACAAGCACTTTCGACGGGATGATTGTGTGCCAGATAATTCGATTGAGATTTCTATAGACAGTATTGTAAATAAGGACCAAGATAATGAGTGGGAAGCCAGGTCTGTGTTGTCTATGGGAAGTCAGGAGAACAAGGTGAACAGAAACGAACAAGGCCTTAAAAGTCTTCCCTCTATAAGCCAGTTATGTCTTGTTTGTATGCCAAAGACACCTCATACCATAGTAGAAGAACAAGAAGTGTATCACTTACCTTGTATGAATGGTTTAAGAGAGAGTTCACTTGACAAAGTCGGCAAGGTACAGCAGCCACTGGATAATTCGGAAATGGATAGGAGCGGAAAACCTTGCTTGTCGCAACAAGATGGGATTGGAGTGTCGGAATATTCAAACTCGGAAGACCATTCTAGTAGCCAAGGTACATCCTCTTTCAATGACACAACTTGTAGTAGAGCAAGTCGCAAGTCTGACGAGAATAGCAAAGCTAAAAGACAGTTGGCAAAGAAATTGTGGAGACAGCGAGACCAGATGAAAAGGGAAGAAGAGAAACTTATCTTTCAAAGGAAAGAACAGAGCTTCCAAGAAGCTATACGGGAGTGGATACAATCGCATTCTGATGAGTGGAATGAAGAAAGATTACTACAAGTTTCCAAAGAACTTTTTCAACAAGAGGCAGGTTCTAGTAGAGTAGAAGGAATAGAGACTATGCCAGTTTTACATGGTAGTGCATTTGACTTGATTACTAAACAGAGACATCGTATAGAAAAGCGTTTGCCTCCAGGGGCATTAGAACAGCTTCCAGAAGAGGAAATTAGAAAGCGAAGAAATGAACAAAAGTCAGCCTCTAAATGGAGAGCTATGCAGTTACAAACGGAGAAGATGCATTTGTTACGTTGGAACTGTCGTCTATTGGAAGAATTGTATAAATATATAAGAAAGCGTAGCGAAGTACCTTGAAACACTATTTCCATTCGTTCTCTTATATTATAATAATATCTTCTCGTTATTTATGAGGATTGAATCTTCTATAAATCATCAACTTACTCTTCATTTCCACCAACCACTTCATAGAGAATCTCGTTCCAATTCACTTGTCGAACGGCAGAAATTCCTCACCATAGGATTTAACATGAAGGTGCGGCTATTTCCTTCCTTATCCAGAAGAAGAGAAAAGGCCCTTACTTAAATGTGGGAGAGTGAGAGACGAGGAAAGGATTGTAGAAGAAATTGTGCCAAGTTTGCTAGTTTGTAAGATATTATCTGATGTCCAAAAACAATACTTTGGCTCATTTTGAGCCTGTGAACTTGTATGAGTTTGAAGCTTTGGCAAAGTTAAAGTTGCCAAAAATGGCAAGTGAAAGAATGCAATATTCTGGTAATACTGTTTGCTTAGGACAAAAAATAGGTTTATGATTACTATTGCTCTGGTGCAGACGATCAGTACACACTTCAAGATAATATAGAAGCCTTTCGAAGGCTTCGATTGATTCCAAGAGTTTTGGTGGATATTTCTGCACAAGATATTTCGACCACTATATTGGGTGTTCCTTCCAGTTTCCCACTTATCATTGCACCAACTGCTATGCAAAGAATGGTATGCATATTGTATATGATTGTATTTAGAGAGTATGAATGACTGTTATTTTTGTTGTCAGGCACACCACGATGGTGAATGTGCAACTGCAAGAGCAGCAGCTAAGAATGGAGTCATTATGACCTTATCTTCTTGGTCAACAACGAATATTGAAGACGTAGCTAAAGCTGCACCTAATGCACCTCGTTGGTTTCAACTATACGTATATAAAGATAGGGATGTGACTGCCAAGCTCGTTCGTCGAGCAGAGAAAGCAGGTTATTTAGCTATTGCTCTTACTGTAGACACTCCTCGTCTAGGAAGAAGAGAAGCCGATATTCACAACAAGTTTTCTTTACCTTCTCATCTAACTATGGCCAACTTTGCGGAAGATGATGGTAGAGAGAAGAGTCATATGGAAAAGAGTTCAGGTTCTGGTCTTGCGGCTTATGTAGCTTCCTTGATTGATCGTTCCCTTTCTTGGAAAGATATTGCTTGGTTGAAGAGTATTACTCGTTTACCTATCATTGTGAAAGGAGTCGTTACAAGAGCGGATGCAGAAATTGCAGTTCGTAATGGAGTAGCTGGAATCATTGTTAGTAATCATGGAGCGAGGCAATTGGATACTTCTTTGGCTACTATTGATTGTTTAGAAGAAGTTGTCACTGGAGCACAAGGCAGAGTACCAGTATTTGTAGATTCTGGAGTTCGTCGAGGCACAGATATTGTGAAAAGCCTGGCACTTGGAGCTCAAGCAGTGCAAATTGGTCGTGGTGTTCTATGGGGTTTGGCAGTTGGTGGAGAAGAAGGTGTGGATCGAGTCTTAAAGTTGCTTCGAGATGAGTTTGAGTTGGCACTTGGATTGTGTGGTTGTAGAACGGTAAAAGATATTCGTAGAGATATGGTAGTTCGATTGAACGAATTGCCTTTACAAAAGAAACATTCTTTTGGTTTGGCTCAATCCAATGGCCAACTTCATGGAATGAATAACTTTAGTAATCATTCTCGTCTATAATAAATCATTGGCTTTTGGTGGTCCTTGAAAAGGGAATTTCCCTTGTTCTTCTTCTTATTGTGAAATGTATGCATTATTTGTAGGCAGCCATGACTTGTGGAATTTGCAGAAAAAGATTCGTTGCCAACAAGTTTGCTTTCATAGAGAAGTTTTCATAAAGAGTACTCCAGTTTGGACTAGAAGCAGGTATCCTGCCTCAGTTCCTTGTTTACTGTTTGCAACAAATGAAGGAGAGTGGTTAGGTCATACTGTCAAGTTGGATGTACAAGTTCCTTCTTGGTTGGCTTTCGATCTGTACTCTGACTTGGAAAAAATGCCCAGTTGGTCTCCTTGGTTACGTAGTGTTCAAGTAGATCCTAAGCAACCAGAAATAGCTACGTGGAACCTGTCAGCACGAGGTTTAAGTGTTAGTTGGCGTTCAAGAAATACTCGAGTAGAACGTCCTCATATCATTGCCTGGGAAAGTTTGGAAGGTCTTCCTAATAGAGGTTCGGTTCAATTCCAAGAAAAAGGCGATAATTGTACTCAAGTAGAATTGACTGTGGAATATAAGGTGCCTCGTTTCTTAAAGGTGCTACTTAGTAACTCTTTTGTTGGAAAGTTTGTTGAACGCACGCTGTTGGAAGATTTGAAAAGATTCCGATTATGTGCACTGAGGGAATATGCAACTGAGAAAAGAAGTATGAAGAATTAAACAAGTGGACTATGTGATGATGAGATTTGAAGACTATTTCCAATTATAATATCCTGCAATCACTCACTCTTTATATGAGTCCTAAGCCAACTACATCTTCCCTAATGTTGTAGGCTCGAGTGATGACTTGATCCATATCTACCGCAGGAAGGTTCTGTAAATATCCTAAACACAAAATAGTAACAACTCATACTAGACTTTCAACTCTCTTCTTACCTTTCAACTCAAGTCCATCTAACTCTAATAATTCCTCTTGAAGCATATCCATAACTGCCAAACAAACATAACCATGCAAATGTAAACCCTAGTGATATATTTATATATATATATTTCCATTCTTCCATCTCTTTCTCTTACCTCTTCTGAAGCAAAATAGGTATCCCAAAGTCTCAAAACACATTCCATGGGAAGTTCACGTGATAACAAGTTTCGAATCCAACTTGGAATCCAATCAAAAGGTTCCAATTCTTCACTTTCAAAGAATTCACAAAGTTCAGGTTGCAATGTTCGAAAAAGCATCATAAAATTGGCTACGGCTGCGTTTTGCGTTTTCATACAACGAACAACTTCGTGCTTTCTCATAAGAGATTGAAAACAGTAAAAACTGTCCACTTCGTTCAACTCAAATACGGTAACAAATGGTGCCAAAATGGAAACCTGACAAGTCTTTCTCTTATATTTCAAATATTCATATAATTACTTACCAACACCGAATCATATTCAAAATTCTCTTCTGAAGCCAAAAAAGCACCGATAATATTGGAAAATATACTTTGTAAAGTTTCCTCACCAAGTTTGCTAAGAGAGTTGCTACGGAACGTATTACGACTTGTTCTCCTCTTAACTTCATTTCGAACTCTTCTCATCATTTCGTCGTCTTGGGAAGCTTTAGAACGAAGTTCGTTGTATTCCAAAGTCATCTGACGTCTCATGGTTAGTTCCTCACTTCTATCTGGCTTGGAAACGTTTAGTAGAAACTTCCACACTTCACCTCGAACCTTTAGATAGCCATAAATTGATTCTGTTGTTATGAAAGCAAGCCATCTTACCTCTACTGGAATACCAAGTACAGCAGCTTCCCTCAAGCTCTTTATATCCACAAAGGATTCCCCTTCCATCCAGTTTCGAAATCTGGCAACTTCCAAGTCTCCACTAAGACAGTTGGATAGAGAGGCACTTTCGTAACTCCATCTTTCCTGAGAGTCTTCGCTAGAACCAGATAAGGGGGTCTTGTGTATTTCGTTGTCCCAAGTAGCAGAATCTATCGCAACTAACTTTGGCTTTGTTTCTTCCTCAGGGTGGTGATCCTCAAACGAAGTATACAAGTCTTTGTTGGGGACTTGTTCATTGGCATATGATCTTACGGTAGGACCTTGACTACAGTTGACGGTAGAAGACTGAGAGTTGAGCATTCTTCTTTCAAAGGGTCGCAGAGTAAGCTCAAGAAAGTTAATAATACGCTATTCTAGTGAATGTTATGTTGAGCAGAATAAAGAACTGCTACAAAGTGAATAACTTTCCATCAGCAAACCAAACGACTCTAAAGAAGACGACAGACGGCAACGTTTTCCTCCAACAAGAAGAAATGAGGGGACGTGTGGGGGCTTTCTTAAGAATGAAAAATACTTTTGTAGAGTGATGAAGATGTTGAGCAATATTTCTATCAAACACATACAAAACCATAAATAGATATACAACTATTTTGGAAGCATTGTCTAGGAGTCTTTGATTGCCTTATCAATCTTTTAGGGTACAGTATCGAGACATTTTTCAACTTGTACAATATGATTCCTTCCTAGCTCCAGATGGCTATAATATAGTGAACAGTTGATTCTATCACCGATAATAAAATAGTGAAAAGATATAGAAAGCTAAAATATTTTGGGAAGTGTAGACTCTCTATATTCAACTAGTCACAAGTTAGAATGGAATGACAAAAGAGATAAAGAAACCAACATACTTTATCTTTCCACAAATGTTCAGGATGATAGATAGCTTCAACTAAAAAGCTTTGAAAGAACAAAGAGAAAGGAAAGAAATAGTTTAACAATAAAATCCTATTTACACTTTCTATAATAATAATAATAATAATAATAATAAGAATTGCCATTCAACTCTTATAAAAGGGAATTCCTACATCGTCTTTCTTTTCCGTTTCATTTTCTAAATTTAAATTTTGGCGCACTTTCCAACAAGTTGGTTCTTATGGAAGGCGCACAAGAAACAAGCGTTTCTACTTGTAGTTTTATTCCAAAAGAACTATCAGCGGAAGAACTTTCAGAATCAGAGTTTATTACAAATGGTTTGTTTACAGAAAACAACCAAGATACCGTTTCTCGCTCTTCCAATAGTAAGGAAACAACAAGTGGGTTGTCCTCCAACCATAGCTTTCAAAACAGAGAAATAACAAACTATCAAGACCACTCTATGGAAGTGAATTCAAAGTTATCCAGTGATGAGGAAGTACTTTCTTCCAACGAATACATATTTCAAGACTTGTTTACAGGTAATAGGGCTCTAACGTCAGAAGAATTTGCCGAAAAAATTTTATATCTAACAGACCTTATTACAAGAGAAAGAGAAGAAAAATACAAGTTACAGAAAAAAGTTAGAACTCTTGCAGAAGAAAAAAGAATTCAAAGCTATGACTTGGAAGAATTGAGAGATGAACTTGTCCATTGTAGAAAAGAAAAACAGAACTATTATAGACAAGTAGAAATGCTTCAACAAGAAAAATTATACTTCAAATCAAGGCTAGACGAACAAATTGAAAAAGGCTCTCAAGATTCAGACAGTCATTGGAGTCTACAGAATGAAATTCGAGACTTACAGAACAAAATGCATGATATGGAACAGGAAGTGAAAGAAACCAGTAGCTATGCAACCCATTTAAAAATAAAATTGGAGAAAAAGACAGAGGAAGTCGTTCAACTCAAAGCTAAGGAACAAGCTTACCATGAAAGAGAAGAAACTTTGAGAAAAGAACGCGATGCCCTTATTCGATCCAATGCAGAAGCAGTACAAACTGTAGAGCAACTGAGACATACCTGGAACTCTGTACAAGAACAGCTTCGAATGGAAGTGTCGAGACGAAAGGCACAAGAGAATGAATACAGATTACGTATACAAGAACTGGAACAAAAGTCTCGAAAGTGGAAAGATGATAATGAGAACCTTAAGTTTGCCTTGCACAATTTAGAAAATTTGTTGGAAGAGAAACAATTGACTTGTGAAAATAATCAGCAATTGATTGATAACTACGAGACACAGATTGTTTCCTTTAATGAAGAATTGAGGCAACTCAAAGAAATACGAAATTCGTTACAACAGAGAGCCATCGAAGCGACAGAACAACTGCAGGAACGAGATGACATTATTGAAAAACTAAATTCCACTCTCGAGAACAAGAATAAACGTTGTAAGGACCTTGAGAGAACAACCCAGTCTCTTCAAGAACGCCAAGATGAACTGCTCAACAAAATTCGAGCTTTGCAAGAAGATTGCCATCGGCTGAGAAAGGACAAGGAATACTTACAGAGTCTTCGAGAACGAGCAAATGCAGAAGCTGAATCTTATGCAACACAGTTGGAGTCCATTGAAGACCAACGTCATAAGCTGGAAGAACAAGTTCTAAACTTGCAAAGTGCACTTCAAAAGTCACGTGCAGAGGAAGGAAAGTTGAGGATTAAGTGCGAGAATCAGAAGCAAATGTTAGAAGAATATGAAAGACAGCTTGAAAAGAACTCGAATTTACAGGAATCTGCAATATTTCAACAGGTGTGTGACCTGCTCGATCAAAAACTTCCAAAACTCGATGAGAGTGGTGAACAAAAGTCTGTCATACTGCAATTAGCAGATAAAGTACAGCAACTTTGTGACGAGAAGGAAGAAATGATAGCTATTATTGATCATATGAAACAAGAACTAGATGCCAACAAAAAGAGTGAAGAACAACTTGGGGGAACAGATTACAACGACCTTAAGGACTTGTTGGAAGGAAAGGAGAGAGAAATATCGCACCTTGAGGCTCGATTGCAGCAAACTAACGAAGAAAAAACTTTTGTTGAAAATGAGCTGCGACTATTGCAGAAAGAAATCGAACAAATTCGTGGATACAATAGCTTTAACTTGGATAAGACTGAAATTTCTTCGGGAAAACTTTCAAACTCATTTTCCGAACAGTCTCTACAGAAAATTCTCAAAGCTTTTGATAATTTAGTTCATGAGAAGAAGATTTTGTCACATAAGAACAAGGAGTTGAACGAAAGGCTCCGAGTAACGTTGGAATCTCGTGAACTTGATGAAGAAACTACACGTTCGTTGTTAAAAGAAAGCCAAACTATACAACAACAGTTATGTGGTATTATTTCAGCTCACGAGTCTGTACTTAACGAAATGAAAGAAGAACCAGTGTCTCCTTACCCACTTGTGAATAAGGATATTGAAGAGGACAAGGAAAATAAGGATATGAACAGTTCCATTGTTTCTACTTGTGATGAGCCTCTTATTCGAGCAATGAATACACATATTTTTCAACTTCGGAATATGTGGCTGCATGAACTTGATAATAATGCAGAATTGCGCAAGATTATTGTCGAGTTGCATCAAAAGAAGAAAGTGGGTGAGAATCTTTGTCATCGCGGAGTTCAAAGTTCCGAATATGGAATGAGCAACACTCAAGTATCTGGTCTTGATAATGATTTTAGTAAGTTGTTGGAAACTGTCGATGACCTGAAGAATAAGAACTCTTGCATGGAGCAGGAGTTGGAAGAATACAAGACGAAGCTGGACGAATCGTCAAGTCTTTTGGTGGAATTGCGTAGTACTTGGCATTCATGGGTACTGAAGTTGTATGAAATGTTGCCATTCAAGGAAGTAGTGGACGATGAAAGTAATGTGGAACGTATTTGTTTGCAAATATTCAATTGTTTGAAATTGACGACTCACAAGTTTCATTCTTTATCTACTGAAATCGAAAATTTGGAAAAAGAAAACAAGCGCATCAATGACTGTGTAATGAATTTGAAAACACAAAAGTCTCTATTTCTTTATATGTTGGAGAAAAATAATAATTTATCGACGTTTCAAGTTGTTGACTATTATCAACCCAAAGAACGCCTGAAAACATATCTTGTTACTTTATTGGGTATGTGGAGACTTTGCACTGTGCTGAATCGAGAGAAAAATGGAATTGAGGTTAGTTCTGAGGGTTGGTACTATTTGCAAGCACCGCAGTGTGCAAAGAGTTTTGATAACAGAAGGGAAGTGGAAAATGCGATGAATTCAGCATTGGTACCCCGTTTACAGAGTGAAATTGCTCAAAAAAACAAAGTCATTCATCAGTTGGAACGAAGAATTGCAACTCTTCAAGAGAAGAAACGGTCGGACTATGGTGAAAGTGATGGAGGTGATATTCCATACAAGTCTTTGAGAATGATGTTGGAAGAGAAAGACGCAAAGTTGAAACAGGGACAACAAGTTATTGACCGACTCAAAACTCAAAGAGAAAAATTGCAACTTCAAATAACCAACATATCCAAAGAGCTCGAAACTCTTGCCGCGTCGGAAAGTAGAGAACGTTTTGCTAAGGAGTCTGCAGAGTCTCGTATTCAGCTTATGAATAAGAAACTACAAACTGAAATGAAAAGAGTCGAAGCATTGAAAAAAGAACTATATGAAAGAGAGAAGAAATTTCAAGATACAGTAGCCCAACTATTAGCTAAAACGGAAGAATCTTTTTCATCGGAATATGGAAGTACAGGTGGTCTTCGACAATCACCTCGTTTCAGTCCATCATTTAATTCCCCTCCAGTGAAGGAATCCAGTTCTATGAAGAAGAAAAAGAGTCCTAGAAGTAACTCACAACAAAAAGATGAAGAAAATGCCAGAAAACTGGAAGGTTCCTCACTCATTTCACAGTTTCATCAAGTTTCAGATTCTAAAGCCTCTCAGGGTGGTAAGAGCAGTCCTTCAATCCATAAGAGTCTGGTCGATCACATTCTTTCTTCTGCCGAAGCAAGTCTAGCCAAGGCAAAAAAAGATGATTCCACTGAGGAATCTGTTCAAGAACTTCGTGAACATATTCAAGAACTTCGCAATGCTTCTATGAAGCTCATGTCCAAATCGACGGTCTAAGTTGTTGCTTTATATATCCATTTGTTTTTTGGTTACTTGAAATTAAAAAAATAGTTTTATTGAGTTTCACGTTGTCTTGCAATGACTTGTAGTGGATCCGATACCTTTTTTGTTGCTGCCATCGAAGAAAGAAAGGCGTTGTAACCCAATGCAATGATGTTGACATACAAAACTCGCTGAGAATCAGGAACAAACCTAAAATTGAAGATATGTGCTGCTGGCCATACCAACCAATTCACCTTTAAAGTAGGCCACAGTTTGTGTCGTATTTCCGGAATGATATCTCCCCAGTTCCCTTGAGCAGCCTTTAAATAGGCAAAAAAAACACTAGTGAAGACAGGTGCCCATAACAGTTGATCCATCATAGTCTTCGCTACAACTGCACGAAATGATTTGGGTGCTGTAGCTAGTATGTGCTATATATATATATATAAAGACATTGAGGTTTCTAATAAACTCATAGCACAGAATTCGTTGTCTACCTTGTCCAAAAACTGATACCAAACATGAGACAGAGGACCATGGACGACTAGCCCGAATGAAGAAAAACGCAACGTTCGCAACACATCCCATCGCTCACCCTCGTACATGAGAGGTAGTTGAGCAATCACATCACCTAGAGCAAGACCCACGGTAGACTAAACCAGTCAGTGTAAATAGTGACGATAATAATTGGTAATTACTGTGACAACTTTCACAGGGAGAGGTCGAGTTGCAAGTGCTCTGTTGTATCGATACCATAGACGTCCAACATGGTGTCGCAATCGTTGCAACATCGGACAAAGAATTTTAACATTTTCATAGAATTCTTTCCATTTCTGTTAAGCCATGTTCTTGACAAAATTTGCCAAGGTACTAAGAGTGGGTTCTTGTACCAACTCTTCGGAAAGTCGTAGCAAAGTAAAAGATGACAAAGGGTATCCTTTTCGTCGACACCAATCAGCTTTCCTTATCACTTCCTCATATTCTTCACTCTTTTTCAGTTCTAATGCTAATATAATAGGTTCAATTGGTTGGTATCGAATCAGAATAAGAAATAAAATCTAGTCTCACCATTTTCTGCCGCATAAGAAATGGCACTATTTGAAGCAATGGTCCAAGTTTCTCGAACCAAACTCTCAGGAGAGCACTTGGCTAAGTTTTTTTCCCATTCATCCCGTTTCTCAAAGCAGGTGAATATCCATGTTGCATTATATTTCTTCAACAACCGAGCCAATTGTTTATAGAAATGAAAATCACGTGAAACATAATAACCAGCAACCGCTTCTGCAGCTCGATATTGGGTATGATAAAGCCAATGAATTCCGGCAATCTTACAAGCTATTTCTACCTTGTTACATGGACTATCGACATTGTTGTGAAATATGTGATGCGCTCTTGCCATTATATTTTCACCATGTGATAACAACTTGTTGGAATACCATTCCAGAAATGTTTTTCCTGCCGTCGTTTTAGCAATTCCTTTGGATTCTGAGAAGAAAAGTGTTTGCCATGGCAACGCATTGTAACCCGTTCCACAAGTTTTATAACAAGGAAATAGTGGACGACCGTTTTGTTGTTGTGTAGTATCATTGGAAGCAATATGATGTACATAGTCTTGTTGCATAAGTTGGTCATAACATTGAAAGGCTCCCATCCCTGGAAACCTCCAATGAGACAATGCAAAGGAAGGATACCGTAATTCACCAGAAGGTCCCATACTAATCTGTATTTGAACGATATGATTGCCCAACCAATCGGAGAATTGTAAATAAAAGGCTCTCATGAAGTCTTCATACATGTCTAAAGCAGTTCTAAGACGTATTCCTTCCTTACACGGAAAAACTTTAGCGTGATCAGCACTAAGTGATAGGCACTCAAAACTCTTTTGGCCATCTTCATCCGTATAAAAGATAAACTCGTGCTCTGTTGTTAACTGTCTTACAAAGGGAGGCAAAGAAATCACCACTTCATCACCTTCTGACTCACCACAAGTATGAAACGACAAAACTGCTTGAATTTTCAAACCTCTTTCTATAGCCAACTGGAATATAGGACGATAACTAGAAAAGTCATAACAACCAGGAGTGGGTTCACATAAGGACCACCAGACGTCCAACATAATTCCTTCAACTCCAACTTTAACAAGTTGATCGAATTGGCACTTCATCAAACCGAGTGGAAGAAACGCAGAATTTAAAGGACACATGACATATACTTGTGTTTGACCGTGGACATCATTCCACAAAGTCTTGAGCCACTTACGCCACCACATGGCCAAGTCGAATGGCATTACTCTCTAAAAGTTGTCTATAAAATGTATTTTAAGATCCCCATTCCAGTCAAGTCACCTGATGACTATTAAAAATATTTCTTTATCCGTTAAGAGAAAAATTGTAAAACTTGGCATATTTTCTCAATGAGATGAAAATCCCTTCAACTGCTGCTCCCAAGGACACGAGTCCTTTAGTATTTTGATCAAAGCTTCAGCCCAAACTGGCGAGGAATTCAAACATGGCACGAGAAAAAATTCTTCTCCTCCTGCTTCTAAGAAAGTTTCTTTACCTCGAATACCAATTTCTTCCAAAGTCTCCAAACAATCGGCAATAAAGGATGGAACTACTACTCCAAGGCGTTTGATTCCACGCTGACCCAAAGCAACCAAAACTTGGTCTGTATATGGCTTTATCCATTCAATTCCAGCAGCAGCAAGTCTACTCTGGAATGCAACAGTGTAGTTTCCTTCAGATAATCCAAGTTTCTTGGATAATAATCTAGCCGTTTCAAAAGATTGTGCCCGATAGCAGTTGCGATTGGCTTGAGTAATACGTCCACAACATTCTTCAAATTGTAGACAATGAATGCTCGTCTCATCCGTTCTCATGCAATGCTTTTCAGGAACACCATGAAAACTGATCAACAAATGGTCGCACTTTTCTAAATTCTCTCCCAAATGTTTTCGAATCATTTGAGCATAAGCAGAAACATACGCGTCATGATCATAAAATGCTGGAACAACATGAAGATAGGGAGTCGCATATATTTTCGAGGCTTCACGATAAGCTATCTCTATACAAGACCCTGTCGAGGAAGAAGCATATTGAGGAAAGAGAGGTAATAATACAATTCTGTCTATTCCTCTCTGACGAAAATGAACAAGTGCTTCAGGAATTGATGGATCACTAAACTGCATAGCAACTCGAATATCATAGTATTCCTCTCCCAGTTTTTCTTGTAAGCACTTGGCCATATCCTGACAATGATAAATCAACGGAGAACCTCTTTCACTATCCCAAATATTTGAATATGCAGCTGCAGACTCTTTTGGGCGCGTTCTCAATATGAACAAATTGAGAACTAGAAACCTTAAAACGGGATGAAGGTCGACTACTCTTCCATCACTTAAAAACTTTCTGAGATATTCTCTAACATCAGAAACATCCAAAGAAGCCGGAGATCCTGTATTCATAAGCAGAATTCCGGTTCTTCCCCTATGACGCAAGTCACAATTACGATAATCTGATCGCAAACTTTCTGACAACTTTCCGTCTTGCGTCACTGTACTTGTCTTGGACTCTGCAGAGTTATTATAAGTTACAAAAGGCACCACTTGCTCCATGTGCCATCTTTGTTTTCCGAAAGAGTCCTGAAACTTGTATATACCTCTATGCCTTGCACGTTGTAGAAAATGCGACAAAGCGGGCAAACAGCGGAACTTTGCAAATTTGACTTTAAACGAACAAGAAATTCCCTTGCACTTTAAAAGATTACAAGAATAGTTGACAAATAATAGCATAGTCTTCATTGTGAATGCACCTGACGTATAAAGGCGCCAAGAACAACTGAAGAAAAGCGCCAAGTGCTTTTTTCTTCCCAACCAAAAATTCTTTTTTGGAGATTGATAAAAATTGATAGATTTACAGAAAATGGCACAAGTTGAGAAGATTTCGTCTTCCAAGTGCTTTGAAGGTTATGTTTGTCGCTACAGCCATATATCCTTTACTCTCGGAAACTTGGAAGCAAAGTTTTCAGTCTACTGGCCACCAACAAACAAAGTTCCGGTAACTGGTTTCTGTTCCTGACGTGAATGAGAAAGCTAAGACTTCCGCTTGCTAGGTTGAGAAACAACCTGTACTCTATTGGTTGAGTGGTTTGACTTGCACAGACGAGAATATGATGATGAAAGCAGGTGCACAAAGAATATGCAGTGAACTAGGTTTGATACTGGTTTGTCCAGATACTTCTCCAAGAGGAGCAGGTATGGAATAAAAGAGTCACCAGCATTTTTTTAAAATAGTAATTGAAGGTCTGCCTGGTGAGGATGATGCGTATGATTTTGGTACTGGAGCAGGTAGTTGAACTTATTGTTTCAAGCTTCCAGTTTACCGCTTCCGTCAGGTTTCTATGTGAATGCAACCACTCCAGGCTATGCTGAGTATTATAGAATGTTTGATTATGTGACGAAGGAGTTACCACAAGTTATGGAGAACAATTTTAAGGTAGACAATTCTAGAAAAAGTATTTTTGGTCACTCCATGGGTGGACACGGTGCTCTCAGTTGTGCTTTGAAGCGCCCCAGTGAATATCACTCTGTTTCTGCGTTTGCACCTATAAGTAATCCTGTAAGTAGAAATATTGCGTTTACATAGTTGTCATTTATTGATATTGCTAGGTGCAATGTGACTGGGGGAAGAAAGCTTTTGGTGGTTACTTAGGTGAAGAGAATAAAGAGTCCTGGAAGGAATATGATGCTACAGAACTTGTCAAGCAAGGTCGTCGATTCCCGGGAGAGATTTTAATTGATCAAGGAACTGAAGATAACTTTTTCAAGCAGAAACAATTGTTACCAGAAAACTTTTCACAAGCTTGTAAATCTACGGGACAACGAGTTGAGTTACGTTTTCGAGAAGGTTATGATCACAGCTATTACTTTATTGCTACTTTTATAGAAGATCATATTCGGTTTCATGCCAAAGCTTTGTTGTCGTCGTAATGAAGAAATAAAGTGGTTGTCTGTTGAATTGTTATATTCTGATGATGCAGAGAGATGGTCACTTTGGAAAGTAATGTTGAACTTTATTACAAGTCTCCCTCTCCTGCTTTGTGGAACAGTTATTCCAAGTGTAACCATTCGAAAGATACTATTTTGCAACTTGCTCTTATTAATCGTACAAGTGGCAGTCAACAAGGAAAAGAATTGATAGGTTGGTTACAACAGTTGCTAGGTGAAGAACGAGTTTTTTCGATATCCTCCGAGCAACAAGTGAGACATGTATTGGAAATGAATGTTTGCTGTAGTCAGTGGAAAATACTTGTCTGTGGTGGCGATGGAACTTGTAACCTTGTTGTACAGGTTTTACAGGTTTGTCCGTTGCAAGTCTGTATGATACATATTCCTATCGGAACTGGAAATGAGTTGGCTCGTTCGTTAGGTTGGGGTGGTTCATGTCGTAGTTTTATGAAGCTTCAACAGCTTGTAAACTATGTCGAACTTGCAAATAGAGAAGCTATGGATGTTTGGAACATCAATGTACAGACGTCCCATGAAGAGTCAAAAAAGTTCCGTAAACCTACTTGTATGATAGGCTTTCTGAGTTTAGGTATCGATGCTCAAGTTGAATTGTGTTTCAACGAGTCAAGATGGAAGAATCCTTCGGGTTATCAATATACCTGGTTGAACATAGCAAAATACGGATGGTATGGTTTACAAACTATGTGGAAGTGGACACAAGTTGCCGGTATCCATGAATTTGTAGATTCGTTTGAAATGGATAATTACCCTTTGGATATTCCTGCAGATATTCAGTCCATTATCTTGTTGAACCTTCCCAGTTATGGAGCAGGAGCCTTTCCTATAAAGCAGAGTTCAAACTCTCCCAACCAGGTAAGCATATGAAGACACAGAATCTATTGAAAGTTTTAAATATTCGACGGCAGTGGAAAATATTTGGAAATGATAGAGTTTTGGAAGTTGTTGGAATAACCAGTCTCTTTCATTTCTTAAGCCTTGAGTTGGGTATGTCTGCCAGAAAACTTGGTCAAGGAAGAAGCATTTTCATTCGACTCAAACAAAGTAAATTACCACTTTCCGTTCAGGTATATTTGATTGTTGCTTCGATAGGATTTTATCTCATATGCAACATGCCTAGGTAGATGGGGAACCTTGGAGTTTGCGTTCAGGAACCATTCAAATCACTTCTAGCGATAAACGACAATGTTTTGCGTTGGGTCCTTCCTATCAAAAGCATTCATCGCATTTTGTTCAATTTGCGGAATAAAGCAAAGAATCCTGTCTTCCTAATGATGTCATGGCTAATTAACCAATGTAAAGATGCTCCAGTTCAAAAAGTACTTCTATACCGCTTTACCTATTCGACTGATTTCTTCTTCTAATTGTTTACGTTCCTCATCTATTTCTTTTGACCTTTCATTAATAGCAAGTAGTTTGGTACGAATCATATCTTTTGCATGTTTGATTTTCTCCAAGTCTTGCGCCTCTTGACGCGTGAAATCTAAAACTATTTCAATTGTGTTTAATTCATCACACAATATTTACAGTTATTTGCTTACAATATTTCTGCAACTCTGTCTCAACCGTTCTTTGTGGTCCCATACGTAAGATGGCCAATAACTCTTCAGGTGGGTCTTGAAAAACAAGTTCTTCATAATATTCATTAACCACTGGTTCTTCTACACTTTGATCTTTTGGTGGATTGGGAAACAACTAAAGGAATCACTATCAACTTCGCAACCAAACAAATAACTCAACTAACTCGTAGTGGATGAACCAGTTCTATAGGGCTTTCTAAATTATCTATGAAGAAAAGGCGAATGATAAGGTCAAATTCTCCCCAACCAGTTTCTGTGAGTTCAAAAGGAGGTCTGGTCACCACTACTCACCGTGATTAGCAACACAAAAAAATGATAAGTTACAAAATCTCACCTCTTTTAGAAGGGTGAAAACTTTCATGAAGGTGAAATTCAACATATCTTATGAAATAAGACAAGTCTTCGTTTTTTGGACCTCGAATATATGCCGTCCAACGGTGAGAATGCCACTACCATTGAAGTGAATAACAACTACGAGTACGAGGGTGTTACGAACCTCGTCAGCTTCTGGACCAAGCCAAAAAGCTATAGAGCCTTGAATGACAGGAACTGCGACGGTAGCGCCTTTAGTACGTGCCTTTGGAGATGAAGAAGCTTTCATGAAACTTATCTCCCCGGAAAATGCGCCAAAATGAAAAAGTTTTCAAGAAAAAATGCAATATGGGAAATGATAGGCAAGCTCTTAGAATCCGTGTTTTTATTGGAACCCACTCAAGTGGTTCCGACTTTTCTTTACGAGAGATGAATACAATCTCAACAAATGTTCTATTTTGGTACTTAACTGACTATGATTGTTGTCCCATCTTCCACTTTCTCGACACCGCAGTAAATGTCTCTCCAGTGCTTCCAAAGGAGTAGACAACTCGACAAGTTGGTCATCTGATAAACAACAAAGCAAATATACTGTATCTTGCAACCATTCCAATAAGTTTCGATTGGTCAGAGGATCAATTTGACAAAAGTAAATGAGCCATTTTTCTATTCGTCCTGATTGCAAAAAAGAGTCTTGTGCATTCCATACAAGTCCTTGACTTGGAAATTGAAGCATGAATCTATTTAATACTTCAGTCAAAACAACCAGTGGAAGTCCACTATCAAGAACGTTGCAAAGAACCGTCTCTCTATTGTCCCAACAAGGTCTCCACTTTTTCCAAACCAAGTCCACAACTCCACTTACATCTATCAAAACACGACTGACTTCTGAACGATAGTCTCGCACTTGTGCATTCTGTACTGTTTTTACAGCTTGCTCGAGTTGGACACTTTGCTCTTCCAACTCTTGCAACTTTTCTTCGACTTGGTGCCTATACCATATTAAAACCTTGGATAACTTCTTGTCAACGCTGTTTGAAAAAGAACCAAAGAGTTTCCGACAACGTCGTTCCACTCGAGTCACAAAAACTTCCATAAATGACTCTTTGAGAATCTTAAAAACCCTTCTTTGATAAAACTTTAAATCTTGACTCATAAATAATTGAGCGTTGAGCGGTTCTACAGTTTTTGTCAACGCCTTTAGTTTTTCCTGTACCAGTAAAGTCCACTCAGGGAAAGCCGTAGTACTGCAAACAAATTGTTCAAGAAATGAGACAAAGCACACAGCACTTGCATACACACCTATCCTTTATACTTTCAGAAACGATGTTCCTCAACTGGCTATTACTTTCAGAACCCATCAGCATTTGCAACTTATCCCTCTTCCAAAGAAACCACTCGTTCAACGATTTCTCATATTCCTGCAGAGCATTCTTTAAAGAATAGACACCTAGATTCATACCTCGTTCTACGCTTGGTTCCACTGCTAGCAAAAACTGCCTCCAATCTGCTTCTCTACCTAAAGGATGACTTGTAGAATGGCGCAAACTATACATGTCGTTGACAAGAAGAAAAAAATGAAAAATGGGCGCAATTCGTCATCTAAGAAACAATCTCATGATGCTCTCTTTTGGCTTTTATTGTGTGACTTGTTGTGTCAAGTCGTGGAATACCAGAAGCTTGTCAATTCGAAACAAATGCTTTTATTTCCCAAAGAAAAGTTTTCGAGTTTCTTCTCGGAAGACATATCCTTTTTGGGAAACCAAAAGGCCGCTTATCATGGTGACTGATAGTTCCCAAATAGCTCCTGATAGAAATGAAACCCTACTGGGAATATTCTATTTTAGCAAACCTGAAGAACTACCTTGTCTAGTTCAAGAGCATCTTGATGAACTGGATGAAGACTTTTATGCTTTTCTACAGTTTAAGATTGACTCAGCTTCAGATGTGGAGGAGCGAGTTGCTCTCAAAGTACTCAAGGATTCTCTTACAGAGATCATTCAGGGTTTAGGAAAGGAAGCTTTGGAACAACTCGTATCCCAGGGTCCCAGTGCCTCTGATTCCAACGTGGACAAAGTGAATTCTACAAGAACGAGTTATGACGCGGCAAGTTATGACGCTTTGATAGATTCTCTTTTGAATAGGGAGGACATGAAAACTGGAGTGCAAGCAGAATACGATAAACTTGATGGCTACTTTCTAGAAAGATTAGAGTGGCGAATCCGACAAGCTAGTGGAGATACTTTTGACAAGGTAATTTTCTTTTACAAGGCAAGTAGGAAATATTCAATTATTTTCCCTAGTTGGTACTATTGGATAATATTATACAAGAAGTCGTACAAGATAGAATGAAGTTGGCAGGAAAGAGGCTGAGTGATGCTCTTCAATGTGGTTCACCGGACATTATCGAAAGAAAGTTTGAAGAGATGAATCGACGAGGAGAAATTGATAGTGCGTTGTTGTTATTGTTATCGGCGAATATTGAGGAAGCCCGAAAACACAATTCCATTCAAGCTGTCAAAGTATTGGAAAGGTTGCAGAATAAAGTAGCCCAGTTGAAGGTGATTGAACATTTATTGTGAAATGCGTTTTACTGAATGAGTGTATCAAGGATGAGTCTACTTCTCCAGAAGTTGCAGTTGTGCGTCAGTTGCTTCGAACTGAGAGCGAAGAAGCCAGAAGAGAAATTCTAAAAAAGGCCTTTTCTGTAGGTCCTGCGATATACATGGCAGATGGAAGTGTTGCTCCATCCAAATCAAAGATAAATGGGAAAAAGTTTGTTCAAGTTCTGAAAAAGTTGAAAGAAGAGTTTGGGAACATTGACTCGACATTTTTGCAAAAATTGGATACAATCGCAGAAGAAAGTGAACAAGTAGTTATGGAGATATTTAATATGACGCAAGTTGATAAGGATGCCATGCAGGAAGATGCTTTTTATCAACAACGAGTTTCTGTTTGGGAATTGGCTGAATGGGAAGAACGCTATGAACAACAAGGGAAGCGACCTCCTTGGCAGAAGTGGTTTACTTAATAAAGAAGGGCTAAAAATATTATTTTTAGAAAACAGAATAATAACCAGGAATAGACGTTGTTTATGTCGTTGTTTTGTCAAACATAGAGACTGTCGTAAAAGAGTTTTTCGACTACGCTTAGTTATGGTTAGCCAGTTCAAACTAGATTGTGCTTCTTCAAGTCTATCTTCTTCTCCTCTTGTAGATTCAGAAGCTCATTTTGAACTCCCGGAATATGGTGTCGTTGGTATGGTCGATTGTGAAGAGTCAGATGTTGCCAACTTGAACAAACAACCACCTTCTATGTATATGAAATTTGTTATCAAGAGTGTTTTAGACTCTTTCATAGAAGAAGCTATTAGAAGCGGAGAAGAAAGTATGCGTCCTTTTTCTTGGCGTCGGTTAGAGTGTTTATTGAGCCAAGCGTTTGAACAGTTTCCTATATCCAACATAGTATCCTGTTGTATCATGAAGATGGAAGGAGAAAGACTTTTTTGTGCAACCATTGGAACCTGTGGTTTTGTAATCATACGAGATGATAAAGTATTTTATGATACGCGTCCTTCATGTTTACAAATATTGGAAAGTGCTTATGAGAGTAATAGTATTCGTAAGGACAAGTTACCTTATTTAGAAAGTCATATTCGATATAATGAAATTTCTGTCCAAGAAGATGATGTGGTTATTATTGGCAACCGAGGGTAAGTCCTCATTAAGAAAGAGAACAAAACATCGATATCCATTCTATGTTTAGGTTTCTTTGGCATATATCCAATGAGCAGATCATTGCCTATCTTCGTCCTGTTTCGAATAGTTTTGACTCTACGCTGTCCATTGCTAATTATACCAGTTTGGGTTATTTGCGTCAAGACGATCCTCGAATGATCAGCTATATGTTAACGCATATTGCTTATCATTTTGCGGATAATGGAAGTTTTCTAAGCTTAGAATATCCAAGAAATAATAGTATGTTATTGCCTACATCTTCACTTTATCCTATTTCGAATATACATTTGGTTGCTTGTATTTCTTGTATAGTTCGACGTCAATCATGAAAAGTCCATTGGACTACATAGAAATGAAAGAAACAACCATTCTTCCCTCCTTTTCTTTGTATGTCAAGTTGTGGGATTTGTAAAAGAAGAAAATGCAAGTCTCCAATGGCTTACGTATGATTGTAGAGAGTCCACAGTTTCGCAAGTCGTTAAGAATAACGATAGCAGCAGCAGCAGGAAATTTATTCGTGTTTTATTCCGTCTTTCATAATTATATAGAGTGTTTCTTGGGTATATATATCTATCTTGTTTTGGTTATTGTGGCACAATGTGAACAACTGGGTGGAGTTATTCAGGCTGCAATACGTTTCTCTTATATAGCTGGATTGGCTAGCGTTCTTGCTATTATAGCTTTGGGTATTGCTCAAGGAAGTGGGGTGGCTTTGTATTTTGTGGCTTTGGTTGAATTCTTTCTCGTTTCTCTTTTGAGACTTGATCCAAAGGTCCGTGGATATGGAATATCTATATTTTTCCTATTAGGTCCTACACTTATGGAGTCAGTAGGACTTCATCTTTCACAGTGTTGGCAAACTATATACGCAACTCTACTATCTGCTGTATTAGCTGGGGTTATTGCTGTGATAGCCACTGTTTTCATATTTCCAGAAACTATTCGATCCAAACTTCGCAGTGCCATTCGAAATATGTCTTGTCAAGTTGAAGATATTATTCAAAGTTTGGATACCAAACTATTCACTACTCCTTCTTATAAACCAATAAGGAATGACGTGACCAGTTATATAGAACCAACTACAAATATTGATGCTATAACTCCAATGGATAAGAAGCAGACTCCTAGTTTCCTACAAGAAGCTCCCCATATATTACTTCAACTATGGAGAAGCTTAGCAGCTGTGTTTGATGATCCCACTCTTCGTCCTCTTTCAGTTGCTTTAGATAATGGAGATTTCATTCTAAAGAAATGTGCAATCATCAACGCTACTATTAGAAACTCTATGAGACTGTGTAACTTTTTGTATTATGAACCAACTTTCTTCCCACCTTGGCAATGTGAACCTCGTGAAAACTGGATGCCTATATTACAACAATGGCAACAACTGGTTGCTCATCTGGAGTCACTCAATCAAGTAGTTCGCAGAAATGAATGTTTTCATACGGAATATCTTTCGGAAAGTTTTGGAATACCGGTATCTTCTATACGAGATGCTCTCTTATATGTGAAAGAAAGAATGCATCAACTCAAGTCATTTCATTCAGTATCATCAAGTGTTCAAAGCCATTCTGAACAAGTAGCCAATCATCTGTTTGAGAGAATTTATGAAGAATTTGCTAAAGTTAGAGAACAGATGTGGAAATCTGAAATATTCTATGAAGAAAAGGCAGTCGACCATACCTTTCGTTATTCTGCTTTGGCATTTTTAGTTGTTGAGTTACGTGCGACGCATGAATCGTTACATGCATTGGAAGATGCCATGCAGTCTTTTTCGATTGCTTATCATGAACAACGTTTCTCTATAGCCAAGAATTGGTTGCCCATGTTGGACGAATTTTTATTGCCATTTCGAGGTTATACAAGTGTTCCTGTATTGATAAAAGACAAGGATAACTTTCAATATATCATCAAATTTATGTTGGCATTGGCTATCATAGAGTTTCCTCCTCTTTTTGTAGCTCAGTTTTCCGATTCTGCCAAGAGTTTTATGCGAAATGAAAACGATATCTATGTGCTTATTTATGTTGCTATTCTATTTTGGCAAAGTAAGGAGTTGTCTGTGTTTAGAAGTCTTTTGTATTTCTCCATCACTTTTGTAGCTTCTGCATTGGCATATGCGGCAACAGTATTTACTCCCAATCATATCTACGGATTAACATTATGGTTAGCGCTTTGGACATTTATTGGTTTGTTGGTTGGCACTTGTTATCCTGCTTATATTATGGGCACTTTTCCTTTAGCATTGGCACAGTTTGGTATTATCAGCTGTGACTATAACAAGTATTCGTTTACTTATGTGGCATCTCGTACTGTTTGTGTATGCATTGCATGTGGAGTTGTATTCGTATTTTCTACTTTGATATGGCCGTATTCTGTTGCTTTAAAATGTCGCAAAATGTTGAGCAATGGATTGACGCAACTAGGACAGCTGTCCCAATTGGAGTGGCAAGCCTTTGAATGCGTATTTATGGGTCATCATTCGACTCCCAGTCTTGTGAAACAAAAGATGCACTCCATTGCTGGTATTTTATCGGGTGTTCGTATGTTGGTGCAAGTTGAATTGACTCCCAATTATCGTAGAAGTTCCATACCCACGTTGGTAGATGTGATAGGTTTTTGTCTCCGAAGATATCGAATAGTAACGGAAATAGTGGACATGAAACCGTTGAAGGAAAATTCCACATGTGACATGTATCAAGTATTTACCGAGCTGGTTCAACATTTGGAGAATAGCATAGCACATGTTTCCGAAATATTCTTATTGGCAAGTGAGCATATTATTCCTCCCAGTAAGAAACGCAAAAAGCCAGTAGAGTTGTTGAAATATTTGACAATTCTACGAAAAGACAAAGAAGATATTCTATTTGCATATGTACAAGGTAGACAAGAACTCTTTCGTCAGTGGCATTCTCAACGGTTGGACAAACTAGCACAACGAAAGGATAGTCTGGAACATCCATTTGTGAGTATCGATGATTCCTTTCGATTTCATTCTTGGTTGTATGCTTTTATAATTCTGCTGGACAGCGTGGAAATGATTGGACAAGTAATTGTTCGAATGAGATATTCACAAAATGACACATAAGACAACGTTGGACATTTTTTATGATGGCAACCATGTAGGATGACTTCGAACCAGTTGTTGAATATACTTTGCCATATCAGCACAATCACTTATTTCTACTAGTCTATCGGGTCCAACAACGATATCATTCAACTTTCTAGTAATAGCTCCATATCTTAAAATATTCTTATACAAATGAAGAATAATAATATAAAGAGACTTACCTTTCCTCGGTAACCAGTTGTAATTCATGATGACATCGATTAGACAACAACTAGATAAAATAGTTGATTTTCTAACCACTTTCCTCTCGTCACTTACCTCCAATCCAACTTTCCATTCACCAGGATACTGTTGAAACAAAGGCAAATAACCAAAGATATAGAGACCTAAACGAGCTCTCGAAGTTGCTACAACCCAACGCCGAATGTCTCTTATATGTCCGACATGTTTAGTTCGTACCATCGATAATAAAATATAGTCATTTTGTTGCCCTTGATATTTATCTACGGTAGTTGTCTTTGGCATTCCTAACGATGGATTCCAAGCAATGCGATGTTGCAAAACCTCTTTTAACAATTCTTTCTGTCCTTTATAAGTAGTCAAAACGGATATCTATGCACATACTGTTATTTCTACACAAAAGACATTATATTCTATATGCTTACCTTTTCTCTGGGATATCCCAATAATCTCATATATTGATAGACAGCTGCAATCCATTCAGCTTCTACAAGATTTTGATAGAAATAGGGTACAGGTTGAGATTCGCTCTGCCAATCACCAACGGATATCCACTGATATTCAAAGCGAAATCCGGGATTGGCCAGTTGAAAACTATAAAATATACATTCATGAGATTGGCCACCAAAGACATTGTTTTTGTACCTCGAACAGTCATCCATTGCAGTAGTCAAGTCTTTCAAATGAGGATAGCACCAACGGTATATATCCGCAATACTTGGTCTAGCTCTTCCCTTTATCCAATCAACAAAAAAAATGGAGTTGGATAAATAATAACCATAGAAAAGATGATGATGCCTTACTTGAACATCCAATACAATAGGACTTGCACCCAATCGCAATAGACGTGTATAAAGACTTTGTTGTAAGTTGCAATACTTTGCTAAAGCTCTACTTTTGACCACTGGAGGTAACTACAAACACATATACATGAAAATAATCGGATACTCAGTTCTCTCTTATCATTCTTTTCTAACCTGATGATGATCTCCTAATAGAATACAACGTTTCAAGCGAGGTTCATTACAGCCAAAATCTGGTTTTTGTAATATCATCGGAATAAAAGTTTCCACTTCCAATACCTAACTTAAAGTGATGGCTTTATTTACTCAAATGATTCCAATTTCCTTACCTGAGCACTCTCTTCCATAATAAAAGTATCGTATTTCAAACCCATTTCTAGATAATCCTTTCTACGTATGGATGCATGAGTACAAGTCATTGCAATAATTTTTGCCTAGAATATATTCTTTCAAATTAGTAATGCATAGCATATGCACCTTACTTGTTTCAACAACACATAATCTCCTCTCTCTTTCTGATTGCGAAGAAGTTCCAATGCTCTGAAGGCTTCTAGTTCCTCAAACAATTTATCCAAATAACGAAAACAACCCTTTGCTGATTGCAGGTCTTGTTGATAGGAATCTAAAACCCAACCCATAAATCAAACTTGTGTCTTAATATATATATATATATATACAAACCTCCACGGAAAATACTCGAAGCATCAGAATAGTGTTGTGAGAAAAACTTGTAAAATGGAAAATGTTGAGCTATCCATGAAGCATTGGATTCTTCTTCTTGTATTTGATCAAGCTGAACAAAGAATTCCCTTTTCAAAGGTAATATATGAGTGTGATATAACAATAGCGCATTTTCACACGAATAACCATAATCACCCTATTCTCCTCATAAGTATCCTAACTTTCACAACACAACTTACGGGTAATAACATGGAATCTGCTAAAACTTGCACTTGTTGCAAGTTATCCAATCTCTTTTGTAGCATATAATTGACTCGACCTTCTCGACTAAAGGAATCCATCAATCCCAACTCCTCTTCACCATGACCCAGTCTTAATATATCTTTGGGATCGATATCTCTCTATATCAATACAATATGAGAACAGTTTTGGATACTTTCATTCCTGCTTACTTGTAGAATCTTGACAAAAATATCATTCAAGGCATTGTTTGAATGGGTCACTAACAATATGCGTTCTTCTGGAAAAGAATGATAAAGATTGGAAATGATTTGAACAGCAACATCAGTCTTCCCTGTTCCTGGTGGGCCTACAATCTTTATGAAATGCTATCAACACTATCTCTCATTTCCTTTGACAACTTACGAGAGATAATCCTTGTTTCATGCCATGAAGGATGGCTTCCACTTGTTTAACTGTAAAAGGGACTTGATTATGCTTTCTTATAGGATAAGGACCTAAATATTCCTTTTCAAAAGGCACAGCTTCTACATGCAACATATTATTATTATTATTATTATTATGGTTGTCGTTATCTTTGGAATAAAAATGCCATTGCCAATAATCATCACAAGTCGCTCCTAATGAATGTTAGACTCTCTCTTTTGAAGAAGCAAGTCAACTCACCTGTCTTTGTAATAGAATAAGAAGGAATATTCATACTCTTCAAACAACTTTCCATATGAGATAAAGAAATAAAAGTATCTTCTAAATTGATTTGTTTTCCATGAAAGCATTCAAATGAAGACTCCCATTCTCCATAACTAGAATTCCACAACCACATTCAATATTCTCTCTCTCTCTCTCTCTATATATATATATATGTTTGTTCAAACTTACCCTAATAATGTGTCCAACAACCATTTGGGAATAAAACTAGAATAATGTAAAAAGACATCCTTCAAAGTGTCCAAAACTCCTCGAAAGTTATTTTCTTGTGGTTTGCGTCTCATTACCAAATTAAAACTAGGCTTCTTCTCAATCTTTGCAACACGATATCAACTTGAACTTACTGGTCAGGACTATCCATAGAATATAATCCTTGCAATTCCTGTTGGTCCATCTGAAACTGAGTTGCATCCAAATATCCTCGTATGGTTCGTCTGGTAGAAACCGCTTTTGACAAATAAGATTGTTTTTCCATCCAGGGAATCTACAATAGTGACAAAATATCAAAACCAACTCTTCTATCTTACCTCGTTTCCATCAATATCCACAAGACCAATTACTTGAAAGGTACGAACTGCAACTATTCCATACCTTTCTATAAATCCAAGTTGTTCTTTTTGTTCAGTTCCATCCATTGGTTTCTATCATGATGAGAACAAATGCTTAAAATAAAAACTATACATATACCTGAATACTCAATAGAAATAATATATCATTCTCTCCCATAATATGATCCCATTCTTGTCTATATTTATCAGAAGAAGAAATAGTTTCAAGGTCATAAGAAATATCCATTTTCACATATTGAGGAACCTCCGAATCTAGTCTAGTAGGGGCTCTTTCATATATGGATAAGTTATTCAAAGGAATCATCATTCGAGACCATCCTAATATCACAAATCAACATCTATAAAGAATATCTTTCATCAACTTTTCAGTATACCTCTAAATTGAGTTCTTCCCATATCTCCTAAACAAGGATTTAGCCTCTCCAAAGCATCTTCCATTTCTTGACGTATAGAATATGCAGCTTCCATTCGAAACAATGTAAAATGTCGCAATACAAAATCCCCCATACTTAGATACTTCAATATATCCATCCATCAGTACACAGAAAACATAAAACAATGTTATTTACCTGTAAGTTGAGCTTGGGTAAGGCAAGTGGCTCATCTAAATATAATTCTTCTTCCAAACTGGAGAGAGTATCATCCCAAATATCCTTTTCGGTAGGATTCGAAGCAATATTCTATATGGTATGTGTCTGTTGCAATTGTATACTTAAAGAGGATCATAATATGCTTACATAGAAAGTTTCATATTTCCAAGGATAAAAACTGACTTGGTCTACAATGCATGCCACTAAAAGAGAAGAATCCACCTGAATGTTCTCACCACGATAGGGCAGACATTCTAATTCGATAGCAAGCTGAATCAATTGTTTCTCCGTCAGAGTATAAAGTTGACTTGACAAATAATCGGTATTTCTAAAGATAAAGACAAAATGGATATCAGTAAGTAAGAGATTGATGTTACTTACGTCAATTGAGAAGCTCCTACAACTGCCAATTCTTTCAACTTGGGTACGTGTTTGAATATCCATTTTTGTAATGACAAAATTTTGTCATGATATTCCAATAATACTAAACAATATTTCTTAGCAGCACTATGCTCACTTTCCAACCAGGGTCTTACATTCTTCTCGAGTCAAAGGTTCTCCATTATCGTTATCAATGGGAAACCTTTTATAGAAATAAAGCATATCCACAAAACTATTTGACAATTCAACAACAGCAAAATGATACAAACAACTAAACTTGCCTTTGTAAATTAGAAAGCTGGTCCCAATCTTGATGTTTACGTAAAAGCAATTTGAGCGATACATCGAGTTGATAGTCATTCAAAAAGACACAAAAGAAACGTCGGGTTGGCAACTGCCACAATAACTCAACAAACAATTCCAGAATCCGTTCCAAATAGCGTAGAGGATAAACATACTTGGTATAGTAAGAAACTGACAAGGATATAGAGAATCAAAACAACTCCTTACTTGTTGAGAATCGATTGCACTTTCAGACTGCCGTATTTGTATCTGAGCTTCTAAAGTTTTTTCTACTTGTCGTGCAAGGTAAGGAATAAAATCGGCCTCGATATAAGCTATAGCAAACATTAGTTTCCTTTCTACGAATAACAAGTCTTTACCTGTTCCTCTTTGTTGGCAATCTTGCTTCTTTACTTCAACCTTTCTCCACATTTTCTTCAGTTGTGGATATCTCTCAAGTTGCTTGCTTCGAGTGTCGGGAGAAATGTGAACAAAAAGAGATAAAGATATTAGAGGAAAAGTGTGCTTCCTCAAGCAACTCAAATCTTGTCTTCTAAACGCCAATAACAGAAAAAATACTCTTCTCTCTTGTTCATAATAGTCTAAACAACTACAACTGAAAACCTCAACAAACTCTCCCAAAAAAGCACTCATTTTCTTACTTTTCAGTAGGTATCGATAAAAGATGACGAAAAAAGGAACCAAAGATTTCTTCGTCGGTAATCCAGTCCCAACCATTTTCAGTAACCGTGTGACTTTCACAAACCATGTTGACTATGCTAAAGACGTGCAAGTCACTACAACTTCCAAGACAATAGCAAGGCCATAAATATAACCGCAAATATTCCAAATTATCCAATATACTGGCACTAGTAGTGTCTCTTGTAAAAGGAAACAAGTATTCCACTAATTTCTCGTCTCGCACAACGGGCTGCTGTTTTTCCAACCAAGTCTTTTTGGCTAACTGTACGAGTTGCTCTTCTTGTTTCATGTCTCAACTCACTCGTGGAAAAAGTTGAAATCAGAATGAATTTGTCTTTTTTCATTGATTGAAATGATGGCGTCACTGAGAAGGTTCAACGTGGTGGTAAAAAGTATCGATAGTTTACAAAACTATTGGAACAAATTTTATAGTTTTGAGCCAAGTAAGCCATTGAGGAGATGTTTACACCAATCGAATGCTCTCCAATTGTCCGTTGACCCAGAGGAAAAACCTAAGGACGACGAAACTAGCAAGAAGGAGTCTTCTCAAGTAGAACACAAAGATTCTGAAACTCAAGTAAAAGATAAATCAAAGAAAGAAACTTGGGAGAATTCTCAGTCCAATCCAATCAACACTTTCTCCAAGGTGGTACAAGAAACGAGTCCTCGACTACAGCCGGTTGATCTATTCCGAAAGTTTCGTATTTGGATGATACTACGTGCCTTGCGTAGTATTTGGGGAGAAGAAACCTTTACTGAAGAATTGTTCTTAGATGGTGCGTCGAGTGCTTTAACAACAGTTTTTGATTGTTTGGAAAAGAAGGACTTGGCTTTGTTAGAGTATGTAAAAAGTAGTTTTTATTGAAAGACTTATTTCGTTGTTTAGAGACGCACTAGGAGAGGAAGTATACAATGCTATGAAAGAACAAATAGAACAGGCAAAAGAACAACCGCACTTTACATTGAAAGAGATAATTGATAAGCAAGTGTCCAACGCTTTTCGGTATATCGATGTTCCAAAGAAAATTTCTTTTGTAGCTCTAGATGTTGAGTTTCTTATGAAACTTGTCATTCGAAATCCAATGACTCTATCAGAAGAGAAAAGCAAACCAGAAGAATATTATGGAGTCACTGAAGTTCGTTTTGAGAGTCCCCTTAGTCAAGTACCAATAGATCCCCAAAAGAAAATTCAAATAATCAAGGCAGACTTTGTAAAGGAACCAGATTGGAAGCTAACCAAAATTCTAAAATGAGTAAATATTTGTTGTATTTTTAGTCTATTGGTTGGATATGCTATTTGGTTTGTTGTACTTCAAATGATAAAGTCTTCCATAGTTGACATAAAGCATCTTTTCCTATGTGTCATATAAAGAAAACCTCAAGACTTTTAGAACTTGGAATCCTTTTATACTTTTTGATATTGTTATATGGAAGAATGGCTTCTGTAAAAAAGTGATAAATAGTGAATCAAATGGATTAGCCTATATTATTGTGGATGACAATGAAATGAATGAATATAATTTGTTTTCCTTTATAGACTAGAAAAATAATGATATTATACTCTTTATGGAATCAGCGATGCTTCATCTTGTATACAATATGGATATCTTTTTGTTCACAGAATTATGACTAGAATCGTAATTTGAATAAATATTTTCTTGTGTAGTTTAGTATAATCGAAATCATTAAATACATCAGATAGGTTTGGAAATATAGTGACAAATGTGCTTAGTCTTTACCAATTAGTTTGTCGAAATGGTTTGTAAGGTCTCCTTAAATGTGTTGATCTTTAGTGAAATCTGCAAAAAGCCTATCCAAAAATTGCCAGATATAAGGCCTATGATAAAGTTGTTCTCATGAGAAAAAAAAAGTCAGAAAACTTGAGGTGAATGCAATATTCTTCTAAAAGCTTAATTAATTTCTACCAAAAAGAAAAAGATATTTGAAAGCAGGGCAGTATGTGTAACAAATGTATGGATTTCAACTCTTCAATAATTTTGTTCGATAGAAAAAGAATGCTATTTTCTATTTTGTTATCTCCAAGGTAACGTTCCACAATATTTGAAGCAAAGTATTCCAAGGGAAAATCAAGTTTTCGGTTGCAAGCCTTCCATAACCTTTGACACGAAATCTTCATAGGATAGGGTTTAGTCCACGGCATTGCATTTCTCACTATGATTACTCGTTACTGTGAAGTTGCTGTTTCTAAGTCAAAGGCCACATGTTATCTCTTCCCAAAATTATCTACACATTTCCTCTATTTGAAATTCTATAGAAGAAAGTGTTGTAATGCTGCTGTTTCAGCTGTGGAAGTGATCTTGCATTATCGACATTGAACGGGCCTTTTCCCCTTACGATGCTAAAACATTAGTTTGAAAAAGAATTTGTTCACAAGTATGGGTCTGATCATCAAGGGTGTTAAATAACGAATAGATTCAATATTCTCATTGCAAAGAAAATAGCATAAATTTCACGAAGACAAGAAGCGCAAAGATGGAGCTTCACTAAGTGCTACTACATATATATATATATATATATATTTATTACTCTTTCTAGTTGTAACTGTCTTCTTCTTGACCACAACATTCGTCCAAGTCAGGATCAAATATTGCCATCTCCTCAAAATTCTTGCTTTCGCCATGCAATTTCTCCTTTTCCATATTCAAGTCCAAGTAGTTCGTTCATGCCAAGATCAGGTATTTATATCTCACCAAGACGGCGGAGACTTTGCTTGGAGATAACGTTGCTGAACCAGTTAAAGACGAAAGAACTTGAGACATGCTTGCACTTTCCCAAAAACAGTTGTGATAGTGGTATTTCTCTCAGAAGCTAGTTAGTTCTTCATCTTTTATGTGCTTTCACAGAGACGTTCGATCAGCATAGCGAAGAAATAGGTCATTGTACCTCGAACCAGTAATCTTCTAAAATACTCTAGAACAAATATTTTGCAGGTAATCCAGATTCTAGGACTCCTCAAGCATTCTCTCAACAATTTTCCATATTTGCGGAAATGTAATTGCATTCATTATTCTGAAAGCATAAATTCTGGTTGGAAAGGCCTCGGCAGAAATCATCAAATATTGAAGAGAGTCAAAGAGGAAACATTGAAAAATGCCAGACAATATTATTCGAATGATATAGACAAGGTGTTGAGACTTCAGTTGCCAAAAAATTCCAACATAAATCCAACCTATACCTACTGGCCTCAATTATAAGTGTTTGAAACCAGGCGAAGCCATTGAAAAGATTCGTGTGACTGTCTCTGTCTGAAGATACATTTGTGAGTCTGTTATACGAGTGCGATAGATAGGAACAACAATAAGTGAAAGAGTTGCGATAGCAAATACAACTCGCGTGATTTGTCAACGCTTGCAACCAAAAGACAACCCATCAACATAAACATTGCAAGAAGCTGACAGATGCACAATTTCTAATGACTGCCGTTCCATTACCAATTGGTGATTCGTTCTTCTCTTTTGTTGTATAGACATCTTCACTATCTTTTATGACTTTTGGAGCGTTCCATATCATTCACAAGGCACCATTTACTTCTGTACCATTTTGTATACTATTCCCATAATATTTGTGAGAAAAACCAACCGCGAGAAAATAAGAAGCCTTTTTTTTCTTTTGAAATATTCAATTATAATCCAAGCATGAGCAAACCAAACAAACTCCATAGAGCATGGATATAAACCTAGGAAAGAGGTCTTTTTACAAGGTGATTAAATAATTGGTCACGCTGTACACATTATTATTTTCAGAGACTGTTTCGTTGACACAGAAAGTCATGAACCTAAAGGAAAACTCCTTTGTTTCATCTTCTTCTATGTTAGGTTCGTAGAAGGAAACTTATTAAATAGCCGCTGAATCAATATCATTGGTAAAATGTATAGTGATATGAGAAAGAGGTTGTTTATTCCCTGCTATAATATATCCTTTCTCATGTTGATATAAACACCAACTCTTCTTTCATGACGACTCTCAAATAGCTTTGATTGTTCTAGAAGACTGTCCCATTGACACATTGAACCTATTCTGAATAATAGGTCATTTGCCCAAATGGAACTTTCAGTTATCCACTAGACAAAAGCCATCGTTGAAGCCTTAGAAATCACAATTTACTTTAAGAAAGTTGTTACAGGTGATTATACAAGAGTTAAATAAAAACAATAGAATCTATGAAGAAATCAAAACCTCTCATGTTACAGATTCTTTGCTTGTTTATAGCTCTATATTGCTGAGAATTGAGAAACTCTGGAGTCTCTTTCTTAGAGACTTGTATTTTGTTTATCATTTGAACATTCTCACAGATGTCCTTTACAAGGTTTGGAAAAGATGGCTACTTCTTTCGATATGTGAGTTTTTATTGTCTGATGAAAATATAAATGGTTTGTGGATTGTATTTGGCAAGTTGATTGTCATAGCAAGGGTTTTCGACGTTGATTTCGAAAAGTTAACCTATAATCAACAACACAAATCTAGTTAAACTTGCGATTATCAGAGTTGTGGATTTGTATCAACTTGAAGCAAATAGTTCCTTTGATCGTTCTCAATCGAAAGGTATATCAGAGTCGACTAATTTTGTGTCTTTACATCGATAAGGTCCACTTCAAGCTGCAAAAAGTTTTCTAGAACCACCAAAATATACTTAGAGCACTACTTGTACAAATTTATTGAATCAATCGATAGTGGTACAAGTCTGAGACTCCAGGAAGCTGCCATAGACACATTGCGGAACTAAAACTAGAAAAATGGTACGTTGAACAACTTGGCACAGAAACACCCCAAACTTACATAGTACTTTTTCAATTTTGAGCAATACCCAGCAACTAGACTCTGTGAAAAGTAGAAAAAGTTCAAAAGACTGTACATTTCCTCTATTGACAGATAAAGATTAATCCATAAGCTTAGCTTGATCATCCTTTTTTATTGACAGTAGTAACGAGAGAACGTCAAAAGACTTGTGGTTAACGAAGAAAACTTTGAAAACTGTTAAAACTTGCTCAGAAGATTAAGACCTTTGTACTATTAATGCTACCACTATCACCTCATAAGGACTCTCAAGATTCTTATGTCTGAAAGATAAGAACAAGCCAACCTCGACTTTTGCACTTGTTTATACTTTTTGTTGTTCGTTCTTCACATCCATTTTCTTGACTACTCAAAAGCAATCTATTCTAACATAAAAATATTGTCTTTAAAGATTAAAACCAGTCATAGTTGGGTTCTTCTCTTTTGTTCTATAAAGGAATGAACAGTTTCATACTAGTAGGAGGCTGCTTACAAAGAGTAATCATGTTTGGGATATGTCAGATAGATGTCTTTGTATACTGCATAATTGTCTTGTGGAAAGAAGCCAACAAATGACAATTCTGTGGCAGAAGTAACCTGAGATTCGAGTTATCTTGATCTGGGCCCCTGGAAGTTCTCTTCATGTATTGAAGAATTTTTTTGGTTCTTTCATGTGTTTTGATGCTCGGAGAATGTCTTCAGATAAGTTATTCTTATCCAAGTACTTATATAGTACAAGTTCCTAGAGGACTGGATGTCCATGTTGTGTTAGGAAGTAAGGTGTTGATAAATAACCGTACCTTGTACAAGATCCTTTCCACTTCCTTATTTCCTCCAGTGAATATAGCAACCGATATTCCAGATTGTAGAGAATCCGGTTTTGAAGAAACTATTTTGAAAGCAAATGATACTTTACTGGATACAAGTTTCATACCCAGTTTGTGTGCATTAGAAAATGTTTCGTTGATAGAAGGAAGAGTCTATGAGTCTGTTCAAGGAGGTCATCGTATTCAGTTTCAAGGGTATTTAGAAGAAAACTCGTTGGATCGTTTTTTGCAAGATGACGCTCCTGCTTCTTTCCTCAGTCAGATAGGACAAGTCCGACCGAGAGTTTATCGTTCGTTTGATAGTTTTGGTTTACNCGTGGTGACAATACCTGAAGTTGTCCACAAAGCCAGATGTTTGGTTATTGGTGGAGGTGGTGCAGGTGGCACCGCTTTTGGAGACACAACTGTAGCGCCTGGAGATAAATTGAAAGTGTATGTTGGTAAAGGTGGAAGTGGTGGCAACCTAGGCTGTGGAGGAGGAGACGGAACGTTTTCGGGCTTTGTCAGGTTGTCTGGTGGCGATTGTAGAGATGGGAACCCTGGCAGTACAAGTGGTCCGGGTAGTGGTGGTACCGTTGGTGGTGCAGGTGGACGCACTGTAAAAGAAGAAGGTTCTGGAAGTAATGGAGCTGCTTCACAAGGTGGTTCCGGTGGCAATCCATACGAGTACGAGTTGTATAACAATGGAGAAGGAGGCATATGAGGAAGTTATTTTGGAGATGTTGGTCAACCTGGCAAAGCTGGTCTGATTCACGTTATTTTTGAGCCTTCTTCATCTGTCATGGATATAGAACATTTTCGGAAAGAGTATGAAAAACTTGCTCAACGCTGCCGTTTTTTTTGGTTATTGCAGGTGGTCTCTCACATTTATATGAGACTCCTGATGAATACTACACTGAAGCCGTCTCCAATATATAGATGGACATCGGTGTTGTTTTGTGGTATATTGTTTGCTTATTCCTCAAAATATTCGAGTGTTTGTTGTATGAGACAGCTTTACGACTGCTTTGACTCTTTTTGTGGATCTACTCTGGACAGCACATAACGCGAATCTTTTATTTAGGACCTGAAACGAAAGAATAAAAGTTTCGTGAAAGATATTATCATGGTAAAATAAGCACTTTTTCATCAGAAAACTGCGAACCCTTTGAGATTTGGCAAAGTTATCTATATCTTCAATGAAATGCTTACCACATATTGCTAATTGGTTTTGCAACTCACAGTTACAAACTGTATTTTAGAAAGAATTTTTTTTGGTTTTGACTATGTCAAATTCAAAAGAAAATTCCTGCCATAAAGAACCTATTTGAATGAGAAAGTTTGGCTTTTGTATATTGATTATGCAGTATTTATATCGAGTTGAAAACTACGTTGATAGCACAAGTTACGTTATTGTCACTATGAGAAGGTTTCTAAATGCATCCGGCCATTTTTACGTAAGCTTTGATGACAATAGAAGAGCTTCATTTTATTTTGGCTCTTGAATACTTTTCCTGACTATCCACCAAAATTATTATGAGAAAGAAAAGTCGAAAACAAGTCTGATGTTACTTTGTGTTGGTTGAATGCATAGTAAAATTCCACAAATACTCGGGTATAATCAACAAAAGTGTCTCATTTATGTTAATGAAGAAAAAACGGTCTGTTTGTAGTTTTAAGAAATTGAATTTTTCTAACGAAAAACTCACATGTGACTTGTAAACAACTCCTTCTTCCTGTGTTCTTGCTATTTCCTAAGGTTTTGTTTCAAGCTTGTAAGTTTCCACTTCATTCAAAACAGATTCGTAATGTTTAAACTGGAACTGCAATTTTTTCTCAATGGAGAGACAAGCAAGTTATTCCCATTAAATATTCAAATGTGCTTAGGATTATAGCTGTTTCTTCAATCATTACGGAGAAGGAGTTTCCGTGGATGTTGACTGAAAAATCTATTTTTCATTTCATTCATTTTGAGTTGTCCGGATCTGACATACATCGCTTCTCGTGCAGAAGAGATATGTGCTGTATTTTACTTTTGGTCAACTGAAGCAAAATTTTGTGAATAAGTTGATCTGATCCAATTTTGCTTTGAAAGCAGATGGGAATACATTGTCAAAGCTTCCAATATCATAAATAACGACAACTCTTGTCTATTTCATCACATTCCTTTTCAACACGGAAAAACCTTCAACTATATCGAAAATTAACTGTCACATGCATAACACGCATCGGGAGCAAATACACATTTGTGAGCATGATGAACAGCAATCAGTATGGATGGAACAGCCTGTTGAGAGTTTTCACAAATAACAACAAGATGAAAACAATTTGTTTGGTGACAAGAGAAAAATTCAAACTTGTCATATGCAAAAGATGTCCATTGAATATGCTCATCTGACTGTGGCATTTGTAAACTTTTTCATAATCGCCATAAGCTCCTTGTCGACCACATTCAAGAAGGCAATTTAACTGCATTACCGAGTGATTCGCCAGAATTGAAGGCTTCCACTCATTGCAAATCATTCGGCACGTTGGACAGGCTGTATTTCCGACCTTGAGCGCAATCTCTACAGAAGACATTTCTACAATTCTCCAAACAACAAGAAGAAATTTGAATGCTATACCAAATAGCACAATTGAGATATTTTCTTCCAAATAACTCAATTTCTTTCTAACATCCTCTGGTTGGACATATTTGGTAAAAATAGCTGGCCATCTCAATGGATGGATAAATAGGGCAGCTTGAAAAATATGCTGCATATGCTTTCATCGATATTACATGTAGAGGATAAAAAGTAATGTGTCATCTTTCCATTCTGTGTCGCAGTGCATCAGAAAATATCGATTCGAGCAAGTAAAATCTTCCTAAAAATTCCCTTCTACTCCGTAATGATATCATGCTGTAGTTACCAGATACGTTCTATCATCTTCATTTGATGATAAGACGCTGAGAACATCAAGGTAAAATGTTTATATACCGTTAAAAATAACAAACTTCGAATTGTAGAGACTCCTTCGATAAGCTCTTTCGGTTGGAAAGAAAGTAACACGCAATTCATTCTGGTGACAGGTAGACGAAGATTAACGACAAACAGAGAATATATCGCAACAGGTTTCCAAGTTTTACAGATGGGCCAAGTTGATCTGAACTAGTAGTTTTCATTGAAGAATTACAAAAATTTTTAAGCGAGAGTTGAGCTTCGTCGTTGTGAGCTTAATTTATTCATTATACAAATGGTAACAGTAGAGAGCGTCATTCAAAATAAGCAGCTGTGGCTACAGAAATAAATTCCCTCAGGCTTGATAAAGTTATTTGACAAAGTCTCATAATATAACCCAATGTAGGAGACTTTTGAAAGTATTTGACTCTGTAAAACTTCTCAGATATTAAAACAAAATATTCCTAAATATTTTTGGAAAGAGATAAAACTATTTCTTGTAGGGTTGAAATGCCAATATTTCTCGAATGTGGATTATCCACAGATTTGAAAGCGTTCCTTAAATTCGATAAAACGTCTTTGCCAATAAAGTTTTCTACATCAGCTTCAGAAAGAATAACCAATTCACAGTTGTGAGGAATCACGAAATCTTCAACACTATCGCCAGATGAATAACAACGACTAGAATAATTCAAGTCCTCAGATACGTTGGTTGCTAACTGAGTACTCATAATAATCAACATACAATGCCATGTAGAATGACTAGTCAATACTTGATCATGCACTGGTTTTAAAAACTTGTGAGCTTCTTCCAAAATTTCATTCCATCGAATACCATTACGACTCCATCGGCCTTTACAAGCAATACCCACAATCATCAAGTTCTTCTCATTCGTTCTTCCATGCAACTTGAATAATATATCTGGACTATGAAAAGTTGAATGAAATGGAATATATATCTTTCCAAATTCTAACATTTCTTCCACTATCCTTTCCCATTCATCATTGCTTCCAAATGTCATTCTCTCCATTCCTGATACAGCTCTGGTATAATGTATAGATTTCATATAATAAGCAGCAGATTCGGAAGAAAATTGGAAATTCATTTCATTCCAAACACAAGACAATTGACCAAGAGTAGAAAACATTGAGCTGTTTGTAGGACGCCGAGAAAAATGTAAATAAAACAGTGTAGCAATAAGACCTTCAAAAATTCGACATTTCGACTCATAAAAGAAATCAACAGATTGAGACTTGAGAGTCTGTAAAAGTAACCATTCTAAACGATCATCCTTTAAGCCTTGGTCAATATATTCAATCAGTAACTTGGGAATCAACACTTCATAGCGTTCGTTGCGGTCTGGGTCTATAACCAATCGACGATAGAGACACATATCTGTAACTAGATCAAACAAAAACACATCAGAATTGGAGCTCATTTGCACAGTTTCATCAAAATCAAATCGAATACGATACAAAGATAATAACGTAAGCATTCTTAACAAGCGCTTACGCTGCTCACTGAGACTTATCAGACGAGGTAAGAATGGAGCAACACAATAATTTGTTACTAAAAAACCATTCATTATGATCAAGAAGGTTTCCTTAGATAATAAGAAATTGCTGTTGGATGATTTATACAGCAAAAGGTAACTGATTGCTCGAACAAGTAAACCAGGAACACCACCAGTCAATTCCAACAACAATTCTGCAAGTTCACTAGTTGAGAAGTCTTCGTGACAAAGAATTTCTGAAACCTTTGGGCTCCCAGGGAATAAAAAGCAAGAACTTTTCTCCAAATGTTCCACGATACTATGGTTCTCAAGCGGCGAAAGAGGAATAAACACTAACTGAACCCTTGAGACTGAAGCTACGTAATTATATATATTTAAGCCTTCACTTTTCCCAACAACTATAAAAAACAAGTCGGGTTCTTTGCACAATTGACTAATGATACCGAAAAAGTCGTTGTAAGGTCGAACCACACCTTTGTCATTCTTCTCCAGTTCAAAAAAAGTTCCCTTTGTATCAAACACACCAACTTCATCAAATGCCACAAGAAGATATTGATCGGAAGGAATGTTTAAGATTGAACGGATTTTCTGGACCAAAGCATCACTCCTAAGTTTTAGTTCCTTGAAACATTCGTCCGGGTCTGGTTGCGGAAGACCTGATTGCAAAAAAGCAGCCTTTACTAACAAATAGTAGACTGCCCACTTTAGGTTGCGTTCTTTCGGTTCTGTGGGCTCCAACTCCCTCAAATCCACAAAGAGCAATGAAGCCCTTTTCAGCTTCTCCAGGAAACCTCTTCGGTTGGCCTTCTCAGACTCACCAACGTAATCGAGACCTATCAGTGCACTTTCACCCATATTATTCACCAGTTCCAAGTAACTTTGTACGAATTTCGTCTTCCCACT